TGCTCGCCTTATCGCTGAGGCCTGGACAAGCAACGCAACATTGCAAAGGGATGGACGCGCGGCAACACGAGAAACGCAGCACGCGCCTGCGCGTGCGCGGCGGTTCAAAAACCGCCGCTCCTGCCCGCGATCCTGAGGCAAATCTGGGGCGTGGCGACGTCGTGCAAGGCAGACATGATATAATAAGATAGAGGTCTACAGTCATTATATATATATATATATTTATACGGCCTCTGAGCTGGGGACAAGGTTGGAGCAGAAGAAGCCCGGAGCGGAAGCGGGCACCACCCCAGCCTTCGCCTTAAAATGGCTTAAGTGCTTTATCTTGCGATGCAGTACAATCAGAAGAAAACAAGAAATGGAAGTCGGTAGAATTTAAGGCAGGGACCGACGGTGGCTTGGCAGGGCTGGTGGCGCCCTCAAGGCAAAAGAAAGATTTGGCATTCAAAGAAACACAAGGCCAAGTTTTAAGGCTGTCATGATTCATGCAATGGCGATTTGAGGCCGCGACCGCTCCAGCTCCAGGGTCTTTGTGCGAAGGTGCCGCGCAGCGGTGCTTTGCCGCCTGAAACATTGAGGAGTCCAACGACACGAGCGGCGCAGGGCCAAGTTCCAAATATTCCCAAGCCCCGCCTTGGCGCGCTCCTTCGCAACCTTGTTACGCCAGCGCTTCTCGCACGCTGCGAGTCCCTGGGCATCGGCCTGTCGGGGTGTTGCATGATGCAAACAGATGATGCAGGCAGACTGAGGCTGCAGCGCTGGCGGTCTTGTTAGACTCCGGCTCGGGCAAGAAGGTGCCACCGCGGGGGCGCGGTGCCTGCACGGCCAGGACCAGGAAAGTTTGCTTTGAAAAAAATACACTGTCAGCGACGCTGCCTTCTTCTTACGCGAGCCGCCCAAGGACTTGGTGGAGCTCCACAATGTGAATGGCACCTGACAGGTGGCAAGCAACCTATACCCGGATTGACGCGATGGAATATCGTCCCAAAACTGCTGGGCCTCCACCGCCTCCTGCAGTTCTTCGAGGAGGACCGGGTTCTGGAGGACGTAGTCCTGTCAGGAAGGGATATATGGCAGCCGCCCTATACTTCCCAAACCCGAAAGCAAGCAGCCGTGCCTCCAGAGGCACCGGTGCCTGGCATGCAGCAAGGCAAGCGATTCATGTGCACTTGTCGGTGCACCATCCCAAACGCGCCTCCTCGAGCTCCACGTCGGCCCAGCGGCCGCTGAAGAAGGTGATCTCTCCAATGCAGGCCATTGCCTGGGTCACCGGCGATAGATATAACGGAGCAAAGGGGCGACGCCTGCGTGCATGCGCGGCAACAAAAGTGGAAGATTTGATCTGAGGCGCGGACGACAAGAGATTGGAGAGAAGGCGAAAAAAACGAAACAGCTCTTCGAAGCTTGAAAGTTGCTGCGGGCAGGTCACATATATGCAAAGGTTCAACATGCAACACCAGATGCAACATGGCCACATGGCTGATGCACTGCAGTCGGTACATGGAAGCTTTGAGGCTTGGACGCGAGGAAAAGATGACGCGCAGGGGACAAGGCAGTGGCGTCGAAGGCGACGCGCCTGGCCCGAAGTCACAACAGGCGGAATTAAACCTTCGGGGAAGATTTCGGGTGGCTTGCAGCAAAGAAGACGGTTTTGTTTGTTTATGTGCCAATATATATGGTGGCTATACCGGTGCATGAGTGTTTGTACTGAGGGTTTTATGCAATATATACAACAGACAGAAGATGCCCGAGCGCGCCTCACGCGCAGGGATGAATGCAGACCAGAGACGCGAGATATTCCGATACCTGAGCCGGCAGGTAGCTGATGGGGAGAAAAAAAGGGTCTCTCTCCAACACCCCTCGCCCCTTTGTCTCAATAGGTGGAACTTTGGTTATTACTTATTCCCACTGTGTCTCCCCTCAGTGGCTTTGCAAAAGGGGTTTGTACCACCAAAGAAAAACAGCTTGACTTGTGCAGACTAGTGCCAACTCTTGTAATGTTGTCTAGCCAATAGTGATATCTTGTCAATAGTAGAAACATTTTTCCGCAACTCCAATTTTTCTCCAATACTAAAAGTCAATTAGCTCCATTTACTTTTAGTATTGCCAAAAGAGTCATGTTCAGACCTTGTCCAGAGGGCATGGCCAATAGTGGACCCAACATGGCAATAGTGGAAACTGCTTTCCCAACTCCGATTTTTTCTCCAATACTAAAAGTCAATTAGCTCCATTTACTTTTAGTATTGCCAAAAGAGTCAAGTAAAGCAAATCCTTTTCAAAGCAGCCTTCACTTTTGATTAGCAAAAGCTTAGATTCCAGAAATCTGATCCAATTACCAAACAGCTGATTTCCTTATAAAACCCTTATTTAAAAAATCAAAAAAACAGGTCCACAAAGGGTACCCCCTTTGCAAGCCCTAGAATAGCAATAACAAACCTGCACCAGGCATGGCAATAGTGGAAACTTTTTTCCGCAACTCCAATTTTGTTGTCCTCCTTCTCCTTCTCCTTCTCCTTCTCCTTCTCCTTCTTCTCCTTCTTCTCCTCCTCCTCCTCCTCGTCCTCCTCCTTCGCCTCCACCACCTCTGCCCCCACTTCCATGTCCACTTCCGCTATAAGGTTCCAAAAATCCATACAGAATCTAACAGAAACCAACCCTGATCCATGCAGAACCTATGCAGAACATCTCAGAAATCCAACCAAACCCTATGCAGAATCTAACAGAAACCCAACAAAACCATGGAGAATCTATCAGATACATATCATGATCCCAGCTATAGATTCCCAAAAATTATTATAGGAAGATTGACCCCCCCTTAAAAAAAATAGGGAGGGGGTGTAATTACTATTAGGCAGCCAACATTATAGGCCCGAGCGGCGTGGAGAAGAACGTCGAAATTTGGAAGATAATGCACAAATATCGAATATCGGCAGAATAGGGGCATCGAGAATAATGACCCGTGTCGAAGAATAATGCAGACCAATGCAGACTAATGCAACTTATAATGACTGCAGAGCTGCCTTCACATCATCCATCGACGCGGCTGGTGCGCCGGATTCGACGCACAGCCACTGCTTGGCCGCGGCAGGAAGCGAGCGAGGACCGGGAAGGCTGGACCCAGGTGATTCATTTGGATATTGCTGGACAAAGGCATTGCATTCATCCGGTATATACACAGGGTATCCCACATCGCAGTGCTTAAAAGATGATAGGCGATTTGTGCCCCGAACTGTTGACGCCCACGCCAAAATTTCTCTGTCGCCTGCTTAGGGGTATGTATACTGCATAAGCATTTGTCCAGCAATATGCCACGGCGCCAAATTATATGTGTCATAAACTGCAACAACCATATCATCTGAAAACAGGGAAAGCCAAAAATTGCAAATCGTGGTTATCGATCCACCAAAAAAACATCCGAAGTTGTCTTTTGGGGCTCAACCCTGTCATGTCAACCCGAAACACCATGGCGAAAAAACGGGCATAGTTTCGAGATTGCAGGAAAGAGGAGCTGAACAGAAGTGGAGGCGAAAGGAAGGAAGTGGGGTGCGCCCTCCCTACACCGGGCCCCCCAGAAAGGTCGGCGTTCCACATCAAGGAACATAGAAGAAAGACGCCTAGACCAGGGCCACCTGCTCCGGCATCCTTCCCTAAGGCTCGCTCGATGCTTCCTGCCGACCGGGCGCAACAAGAAAAAAAATTGGCAGAATTTCTGTGTTCTTGTCTTCCTTGGGGGGGGAGGGGGAGGCCCGAAGGCCTTGGGGGAAGGGGGGCCCGAAGGCCCCCCACCCCCAAAACCCATTGCGCAAAGGGGGTGTCCGATTCTTTGTTCTTTGCCTGCTGGGGATCCCCGGAGCGTGTGGCCCGCCGCTCCAGGCATCCCCTCCCTGCTCGAGCACCGGCCGCTAAGATGTAAACCCTTGGTACCACCCTCGCAATTTGACCCGGCGGAGTATGATGTGATACCCCACGGGGCCAAATCACTAGGGCACGGTACCGAGGGTTTACTTCCCCCTAGTCTTGAGAATCCCTCAAGTTTCAAGACTAGGGGTCCTATTCATACAATGCAATGCCTCCCAGTTGGCTATAAATTCTATTCTAAAACTATATATAAATATATACTGCAATATACTGTGTAATATTGCTGGTAGTAGTTCTAGACATCAGTCGTCTGTATATCGAGTCTATCTTTGTCCACGGTTTCTGCGATCCACTTCGCGTCAAATTCGGACTGAAGTGTCCGTCAAGCAAAATCATCGACAAATTCCCGCAAAAACATGCAAAAACAATGATCAAACATAACATCCGAGGTTCAAATATGACCATTCACAAACCGCAAATCTGCAAACAAGGTCAAACAAACCGTATCTTACGGGTGGTTCCACTTCTAAGGTCCTCACATTTGACCCAAACATACCCCAACAACGAGTCTGACCTATGGCCTATGGGTATACCTCTGCTGGTCGCATGTCCCACCTGAGATCTTCCACGGTGGGTCGGTCTTCGTCAGTCATGCGGGCTTGTAGAGACTCCTGGAGCGATGAAACAGCTAGGCGTTCCCCAGGGTATGGTGGGAGGGACTGCTGTATTATAAATCGTTGTCAAACCATGAGCCGCATAAACTCAGGTAATTTTGGGAATCTAGATTGATATTGTTGGCCAGTTTTGGCCGCTAACCCAACTGAAGTCACTTTGGATTAAATTGTCTTCCCGAAATTCTTGTGCAACAATTTGACACAATGGTTTGACGCTCCAGTTGCGACCCAAACTGTCGTCATCCTATTGCCAAGACTGGTTGGTTCAGCCACTCCTCTCAAGAATAAGAGTCGCTTGGGCATCATCTTTCCAGGTAACTTAATGGTAATTAAAGGTAATTAAATCTGTACTATTCTATACACATGGAAAAGAAAAGAATCGCAGACTACCAAGTGAAGAGTGAAATCAATGTATCACCACATCCTTGGACCCTGCACCTGCCTTGCAGTGCCCTTTTTCCCCAGAATTCATTCTTCGGTTTCAAAGAAACGCCGCTTAAATCGGCACAGTCTCCGCACATCTGCCAGCTGCCCCTTCAACGCCGTGGCATCGCCGCCGCAGCGCGCATCCCCCCAGGTCCGCACAGACCCATCTGCTCGCAACGCCGCAAAGGCCCCTGAAGAGGCATGAAGCCGCTGGACATTTCGCAGCCGCGCTGCATCCCCGCCAAAGCGTGGATGGCCCCAGGCGGCCACGGTGCCGTCCCGTTTTAGGGCGGCAAAGGCGTGGCGTGAAGCCACCAGCTGCGTGACATGGGACAAGCCTTCCACCGGCTCCAAAGTGGTTTTGGGAGGGCGCCAGGTGACTACCGTGCCATCTTTGCGAAGGGCCCCAAAGGCATCCTCCGAGGCACATAGCTCCGACACCTCCTCCAGCACTAGAAACAAATTAGGTCTGCAGGTGCGGCCCCAGCAAAGCACCTGGAGATGGCAAAAAGACTGAAAGCCACAACCTAGATCCAGCTATTCAGCTATTCATCCTATTTTGGTACAAAGACACCATGGCGGCAAATCATTCCGTTTCAGACTTATGGAGGTTCCACTTTTGCCTTGTACCCACCTGACCATCCTCCTGTAGCACCGCAAAGCTATGGCTAGTTGCCACCACCTGCTGTGCCCTGCAGTGCAGCTGTGGCAGCTGGGCCCGGTCACGCCTGCCACCCCAGGTGACAGCACTCAGCCCATCTTGGGCGATGGCGAGGAAGGAACTGGAGCTGGCAGCTAACATCAACACCTCCCCCAGCAGCTGATAGACCCAGCTGCCATCGCAAGCAGCACCCTCGCCCCAGCAAAGGACCTGCCCATCCCGACGTAGAGCTGCAAAGGCATCTTCGGTGGCCTTGCATGATGGGATAGTTAGGAAGATGAACTGTGCTATAACACGGCTGCTAAATCATGTTTAAATCATGATTTCACATGGTTTCTCTGCACACAACTGCAGTCAAATCAAACCTTCAACCTTTAAACAAAGCCCCGCCAGGTCACACAGAGTTGGCACACTTCCTCCAACTGCCCCAGCAGCTCCGCAGGAGGTTGAAATTGGCCGTGACCCCAGGTGATCACTCGACCATCCACCAGGGCTGCCAGGGCCCTTCTGCCGCCCACCACCTGCTGCGGGTTCCTCAGCTGCCGCGGAACCCCCAACGACACATCGCCCCAGACCGCCACGCGCCCATCGCCACGCACCAGGAAAAAGGCGGGACATTGGCGGCAGCCCAAGATCGCTGGGGCACGCAGGCTGGCTACCAAGACATCACCATCTTTTAGGGCAGCTTCTGCCAAGGTTGTGGCATCCGCTAGGATCTGGTCCTCGAAATCCAAGATTTGGATTTCAAGTGAAAACGGAAGAATCAGATGATTCGGATGATTCAGTGCTCCATGTCTTTGGGCGGTGGATTTCAACTCACTACTTGCACTAGCAAGGCTTAAACCAGAACTTCACCAGATAACCACCGTTTTCCACCTTCAAGCCAAAGAAACCAAATGGGTTCGTCTGAAGGTAAGGTACCCCAATATCCTGTGGTTGAAAACATGAGTTTCCCATAGTTTCCCCCTTATTTGATGCGTGGATTAACCCCGCCTAAATCATGGTTGATGATAATGGCCATTTGATCTATAAAAAATACCTAAAGTGGTTGGTTAATGTTGGGACTCCCATGTTTGTTGGTTAAATAGGCCCTCTGGACAAACCCTGTCGGTTATATGTTCTATAAAATATCCCAACTGTATTCCCATTATTCTTGGTTTTATACCCCCCAAATGTTGTTGGATATCAACGGTTCACCCCAAATTCTTGCCAAGTCTCCTCATATCATGGTGTTGGTTCTAGTATCCTTATGATTCTATATCCCACAAACTACAGTGCAGAGGTGTGCAGAGTATCCTCGCAAAAAGTTCTATCCAACCCACAGTCTTGCCAAGTTTCGTGGTGAATCAGCTTGGCAATACCCACCGCCAGGCGCTTTTGTGCCACGGTTTTTAAGTCCCCCACCGTCACCCCCTCAGCAGCAGTGACGGCCACACCACGGCCGCTCAACAGGAGGACCTCCACCCGGATCGGCGCCATGGCGAAAAAAAGGCTGCCGTCTCGTTGCGACCAGGGTTAAGCCATCCTGATTTTCGAAGATTTCTCTCAGATGTCTTTTTTTTGGGGAGTTGTTTGATGGCTCTGATGAGAATCACCTTGGGGAGTTGTTTTGATCCGATTGCTTGATGCTGTGAGATCTATGTTGCCATCGAAGCTGAAGTGAAGATCACCTGAGAATTCGATCTGGGTCCAGAAATCTTGGATGGCCTTCATATTTGTCCACGACATGTTGGCAGCAACCATCCAATTTCAGGTGGTGTTCCATACACCGGGCTCCCCGAAAAGATTTTCTTTAGAACTGAATCATGAAACTAGTAGGGTATCACTATATCATATCAATTCATTTCATCTATCTATTTAGGTACCCTATGCTGAATGTCCATTGGCAGACCAGTCATGGCATCATCTTCTGTCATGGTGCTGCCTTGAGCCCTGGCTGAAGAGATCCACCCTGTTGCATGATACTTTTGGACCCATATCTCGTGTTCAAAACGTCAAAATGAAGAAGTGAAGAAATTCGTACCAACCAGTTGTCATCTTCAAGCTGATTGGTTTTTTCCTACAGGTCCCCCAAGATCCTTCCAACTCGAATGGAAGACCCGTAGCCTCCCAGCCGCCATGGCCGCAATGTTAAAGTCCTGCGCCAGCTGCTCCGACATGTCTTCATCTGCATCTGCCTGCGCGACGGCTTTGCGGGATGTGACACAAGGTGAAATGCAGAACAGAAATGAAGGGTCACCATATGTCAAAGACTAAATGGCCAAAACCATCCAAAATCTCTTTAGTTGCCACCTTGGGATCGAGTTGAAGGTGCTCAAGATCAGTGTTAATTAGTACAGTAGAAGCCCAACAGCCTACACCCAGCCTGCACGCTTTGATCTTTCAGTGCACCTTGTTGTTTTCGCATCTGGTGTTCCACCACCAGCCTGTGTTGAAACCAGCGGTCGTGGAAAGCGTCCTGGCACCAACGGTGTGCCAGCTGGTTTGATCTGGTTATTCAATGTTATTCATGCTGTTTGATGATGGGGTTATGAATCCTCCCGCCCTCACGTCCAAGCAGTAGCTTTTGAGATGACCCACAAAGGGTGAATGGGCGCTGCTCAAGCGCCAAAGACACGACACTTGTCCTGGGCATTTGAATGGGAAAATCATCGTAATTATAGATATATCATTCATGTATAAATGGAGAATTGTCCAGCAAACAAACTGTTTGATTCTCTACATGGTATTGCTGGTTAAAACTTCGCCTCAGAACCTGGCAAAGCAGCCAAGTGCCCAACCCTCCCAGCCTGCAGCGCTTTCAATTCGGAGTCCTCGTTGGCGCCAAGCCAAAAATATGTTGGTAGAAGGGTGCTGGAAACGTATGGAAAAACGTGGAACCATCTGCGAGGCCGTGGTGAAAGAACTGAGTCAAAGCTCTATATCTCTATATGTTCATGTGTAAAGATGTGTTAAAGATGTGTAAAGGGTTGATGATTTTCAGGCTGCAGATCTGCAGCGGGGCAAGATCTCATAACCAGCGGGATCTCGGCGCGCTCCTTGGTATGCTCCACCATGATGAGACCCATCTGGAATTCCTGGAGAATGGGAATGGGGAGAATGGGGAGAATGGCTTCCCGAAAAGATCGAAAATCATGGGATGGTGACTGGAAATGAACTACAGTTAATCATAGTTAATCATAGTTAATCATAGTTAATCATAGTTAATCATAGTTAATCATAGTTAATCATAGTTAATCATAGTTAATCATAGTTAATCATAGTTAATCATAGTTAATCATAGTTAATCATAGTTAATCATAGTTAATCATAGTTCATCATAGTTAATCATAGTTAATCATAGTTAATCATAGTTAATCATAGTTAATCATAGTTAATCATAGTTAATCATAGTTAATCATAGTTAATCATAGTAATCATAGTTAATCATAGTTAATCATAGTTAATCATAGTTAATCATAGTTAATCATAGTTCATCATAGTCATCATAGTTAATCATAGTTAATCATAGTTAATCATAGTTAATCATAGTTAATCATAGTTAATCATAGTTAATCATAGTTAATCATAGTTAATCATAGTTAATCATAGTTAATCATAGTTAATCATAGTTAATCATAGTTAATCATAGTTAATCATAGTTAATCATAGTTAATCATAGTTAATCATAGTTAATCATAGTTAATCATAGTTAATCATAGTTAATCATAGTTCATCATAGTTCATCATAGTTCATCATAGTTAATCATAGTTAATCATAGTTCATCATAGTTCATCATAGTTAATCATAGTTAATCATAGTTAATCATAGTTAATCATAGTTAATCATAGTTAATCATAGTTAATCATAGTTAATCATAGTTAATCATAGTTAATCATAGTTAATCATAGTCATAATCATAGTTCATCATAGTTCATCATAGTTCATCATAGTTCATCATAGTTCATCATAGTTCATCATAATCATAGTTCATCATAGTTCATCATAGTTCATCATAGTTCATCATAGTCATAATCATAGTTAATCATAGTTAATCATAGTTAATCATAGTTAATCATAGTTCATCATAGTTCATCATAGTTCATCATAATCATAGTTAATCATAGTTAATCATAGTTAATCATAGTTAATCATAGTTCATCATAGTTCATCATAGTTCATCATAGTTAATCATAGTTAATCATAGTTAATCATAGTTAATCATAGTTAATCATAGTTAATCATAGTTCATCATAGTTCATCATAGTTAATCATAGTTAATCATAGTTAATCATAGTTAATCATAGTTAATCATAGTTAATCATAATCATAGTCATAATCATAGTTAATCATAGTTAATCATAGTTCATCATAGTTCATCATAGTTAATCATAGTTAATCATAGTTAATCATAGTTAATCATAGTTAATCATAGTTAATCATAGTTCATCATAGTTCATCATAGTTAATCATAGTTAATCATAGTTAATCATAGTTAATCATAGTTAATCATAGTTAATCATAGTTCATCATAGTTAATCATAGTTAATCATAGTTAATCATAGTTAATCATAGTTAATCATAGTTAATCATAGTTAATCATAGTTAATCATAGTTAATCATAGTTCATCATAGTTAATCATAGTTCATCATAGTTAATCATAGTTAATCATAGTTAATCATAGTTAATCATAGTTAATCATAGTTCATCATAGTTAATCATAGTTAATCATAGTTCATCATAGTTAATCATAGTTAATCATAGTTAATCATAGTTAATCATAGTTCATCATAGTTAATCATAGTTAATCATAGTTCATCATAGTTAATCTGTGGTTCGAAGGGTCTTAGTTTTTGACCCAAGATGTGAGTTTCAGCTGGTTTTCGCAGCACCGGCCATCCCGGTCAAGAAAAGATAGACAGGGCGGTGGTTGCTGGGTCTGGTTACACTCCAGAAACAAATCTGCCAATCTGAGAGGTCATACTGTGGATGGAAGAAATCCTGCACCAGTTGGTAGATGGTTCATCCCGTTAATCCCACTCATTTACAGGGTTTCATAGTTACCAATAGTTACCAACTTGTGCAGGCTTTCTTCCATCCATTGCCTTCAAAATCATTGCCCTCTACGGCCTCTACGTATACAAACCTGGCAATGAGAAGTCCCCGCTTTTTGACCGGTTTCGATGTTCCATGATTTTCCATTGCCGAGTCTACAAAAGCAAACCATCAAGCCCATCTTGAAAAGGTTCAAAGGGATCCAAGTGATTAACTGTAGTTCATTTCCACAGATTAACTATGATTAACTATGATATACTATGATTAACACAGAAAACACATGGGGATTTTGGCCTCCAGAACCCACCGGTCTCGGGGAGTTTTGCATCCTGTAGCTCCAAGCCCCGGCTGAAGGTTTCGGGGTCGAACATCTCTTGGATGATGGGATCGACTTGATCCTCGCAACATCCGAGAGTCGCGACGTGAGTTGCATCGTAAATCTTGAAGGATACCCTCTGGTAAACTAACATAACTATGGAAAATCACCATTTTTTTATGGGAAAACTCACTGTAAATGGCAATTTTCAATAGCTATGTTATGTTCAATAGCTATGTTTAATTTGGCTTATGTTTTGGTGAAGATGTGATTCACGGGCCATGGGAGAGTATGGGAGTCAATAGATGAGGCAACCAATGCTGAAAAGTTGGGGCGGCATCAGCCCGGTTCCGGGTTTCTACTGGGTGAGCTTCAAAGTGGAAGAACAACATCCATGATGAAAATGGACTCAAACTTGGCTCAAACATCGACAGAGGAATCGTTTCAGTGTACTCATCGCTCAACTCAACAGAGAGGCTGCTTTGGTTGTCGTGACAAATGTTTGGTTCAGTCAAACGTTCATCGGGGTTCTTCGGGGTCAAAGAATATACTGTTGTATATGTACACATATAATGAATATTTATATGTCATATGTGTCTGTATATATAATAAAATATATAATTAATATAAATGAAACACTTTATTCCGCAGATTTCAGGGGTCCCCTGCTGTCTTCATCCCCCACAGAGCCCAGTGTCCAGCCCACGGACCAAATGAGTCTTCATTCCTCGACCTACATGGTTCAATGGTTCCAAAGGTCGAACAAATCGGTGTTCCTTTGCGATCTTTCAACGAACTGTCCATTGTTGAAATGCACGATTCCACGGCTCTTGAAGAGGACCTTCAGAGAAAGAAAGCACCACATTTCATTCATCTCATCCCTCCAGCCGCTCCAGCCGCTCCAGCCCCAACCTCCGCGGAAAAAAGCAGATCGTTCCTCGGCCGCAGGCCGCTGGCTAGGAATCCTCTCGAAAACAGCTTGGGATTCTGCGGTGGTTTCACCACCAAGCGCCCTAAGCCTCGGGCAGCTGCGAATGACGATGTTCTCCTTGGAAGATTGGAAGATTGGGAACTATCGCTGCTGTCACTATCAATTCAAAATTGTCTGATAAGGTTAATCACTGAATATACCATCACCAGATAGTCGTTGTTTCAACAGCAGTGGTGATGGATGTTCATCACCAAAACTGGATCAATACCGCAGGTTTTTGGACACCGTCCTTACAGGAAATACCCCGATGTTTGATGATGTTTGTTGGTGTGGGTTGTACAAAAGAAGTTATCTATCCACCCTTATTCTCTTGGAAACCCCTGCTAAATCCTGTCCAAATCTTCATTTCCGCAGGTCCCTTCTGGTCCTCCGACGGCAGAGAGTACGATACGCTTCGCCTGGAAAGATTCAGAAAACTTCGGGAGGCCGCAATCTTAGGATACCGCTAAAGTTAGAACTGAAGATGATTTAGACTTACATGAATTTAATTAAGGATTTCAGATTCTCCCAACTAAAGTCCCAGGTAAAGAATTTATATATCTGGAATGAAGTTGTAATCCTTGATATGGCTGAGATGATTGCAGTTGTGGAGACCGAAGACAAAATCACATGGAGCCCCAGCCCCCAGTAGTTACCTTTGAGCCCAGCGGCCAATGTGCCCAACCAGCTTGCAGCACACGGTCAGAACTGGCGTCCTTTCCCGTTGCAGGGGGAGGAATGACGGGTACCACCTGGCCCACTGCCCAAGCGCCCAGTGCGCGTCCTTTCAGTAGGGATGGTGGACATTCGGTTCACATCCGCGCCCTTCAACTTCTTGGCCTCTACCTGCAAGGCTCCCAAGGGTCGAGCGAAGGTAGCTTATCTGAAAGATATTGGAGAACAAAATGGTTGGCGATCATGTTCCTTCCCCGTTCCCCATCAACAAAACACACAACAAACTATATTGTAGGCAGTATCTCCCACTTGTTTTCCCTGAACATGCTTAGTTACCTCCCTCTCCTTTGGTTAGGAACCAGGTGAAGCCTGGCGTATGAACTCCGCGCGGCTGTAGAAGAACAAGACCTGACGCGGCGGTTGCAGCTGGGGGGTTGGTAAATTTCTTGCGAAATGACTAGGAAAACATAGGGTTCTGCCCTCAAACACCTGGAGTTGACCAGGAACTATATAACCAAATGGAGATGTAATTATGTAATGATTCATGGCATGTGTATATACATGTGTACATATTGATTATTTATATATGCATATGCAGATACACATACGAACAGGGCTATGATATGGGTATGGGCTCAGACACCACAAAAGGCTGGTCATGTGAGATGGATCTGAAACCAACCCTGTTCAGAGCAAGACATTTCTGGAAGTACCCCTGGTTCCTTTCAGCCCCGCCTGAAGAACTGTGGTCAAATTCAGGATTGTGATAAGGCTTATCTGATAAGGAAACTATGAAAGTTAAAACCACCAACGTGTGTGTTTTGGGTGCAGATATCGATTCATTTTTTTTTAATTTTGTTCCTGGCCTTGAGGAGCTTTGTATCGCTAAGTTCCTGGTCATACATCTAAACCCAATCGCCACAGAAACTGGAAGCCAGAACTTGAGACAGTCAGACAGCCACTGTCACATGGTACCCCCAATCTCCCCGTCGCACCTTTCCAGGATCACTAAAGAAGGACTCACAGATCTTAGGGGCCTGACCAGCAACTGATGGGTGACTGGGTTCCATGCGTGTGGAATGGCAAAAGTAGATGTCGCCGGGGAAAGCCACCAGTCAAATCTTGGGATGACCATTGGTATCTGTTGCTATGATGGATTGGTGAGAATCATCAACGATAATGGATATCAATGATGATTGATGGATGATGGCCTTCACTAGGGCCCAATCTATGGTTAATGATGATTCATAATGATAATAACCTCAAAAATAATGGATGGATGATGATGGATGATGAGAATCAAGGACAATTGATGAATGGATTTTTGGTGGTACAATTGGGATACTATTGGCATGATTACTGCATGTATGATGATTGATGTATAATGGATGATTGGGATATCACCAGTATGATGTGTGGTAACCCCCATCCACAGTTTCAGCAGAAATGGGTTGTGTAAACCGTCGAAAATAGGAGCTTTGTTATGGTTTTACTGCATTCATTGCGATTCCAATTATTGTTGTATATAGCAACCAAATGCAACAAACAAATAACAAAAAAAAACTCAGTCAATAGCATGCAATATCCAAATCCAACATAGTGCAAGACTACGTTTCTGTTCTTTCGTGAACACAATAATGAATTAGTGGGAACATATTGCAGTTTCTTGGGATAGACTGGTCTCTCTTGTGAGAAAAAAACGGCGGGGGATTCTCCTACTGCAATCCAACGCGGCCATGGAAAATCACCTATAGATGGAGGCTTTAGGTTTTCATGGGAGAATCTTTCGATAGATGGATTTTCCATTGCCACGATGAATCCAGAGGGTAAATTGGAAATGTCTGCCAGCCCCCACTTGAAACCCATCGACAACACGGATACTGGTGGGAATTTGATCGCCAACAAGAACCAGTTGATGCAGAGAATGGTTCAGTGTATGTGCATATGGAGGTTTCCTGAAATGAGGGTACCCCTAAATCATCCTAAATCATCATCCATCTTTTATTGGTGCGTTTTCCAGTCCAAACCATTTATGGAAACCCCTACATCCATTTTGCTCTTGGGATTTTCCAGTTTAAACCAGCCATGGAAACCTCTAGATCATCCATTATCATCCATTACTATCCATTATTTTTTCCAGCAAACAAACCAGCCATGGAAACCCCAATGAAACCCCTATAGATCATGGAGATAAGGTATACCCCGGAGAGCCTGGAAGCGCTTCCGCACGCTCTCCGCCAGCGGCTGCTGGCTGCTATGGCTGCTGCAGGAGGAGCGCCGTGCGAAGGTGGAGCCGCGGCCTCAGGATTCAACAGACATGGGGATTCCATGGCGATTCCATGGCGATTTCATGGATTTTATATGTTTTATATGATTTTATATGATTTTATATGGTTTTATGTGATTGTATATGAATTTTATACCAGTAGTACCGTGCAAGGCAGTGGCGGTTGGTTGTTGTGAATCACGGATGGCAGGGCGAAGGGATTGATGGACCGAAAGGTGCTTGAGGTCTCCTCTCTTTCTCTCTCTTTTTTTCCCTCTCTCTGATTATCTACCTACCTACCTACCTACCTACCTACCCACCCACCTACCTACCTACCTACCGATCTATGTATCTATCTATCTATCGATCGATCTACCTATCCATCTCTCTTTCTCTCATCTGTCTATCTACCTATCTATCTATGTATCCTATCTAATCTAATCTAATCTAATCTAATCTATCGATCGATCTATCTGTCTATCTATCTGCAAGCGTGAAAACGAAGCTATTCTGCGAGACTTCCTCAGCCTTTGAACTTGACAATATCAAAAAGGAAACAATTCTGAGAGACTTCCTTAACTCTTGAACTTGATAACATCAAAAACGAAGCAATTCTGCGAGACTTCCTCAACTTGTGAAGTTGGCAACATCAAAAAGGAAGCAATTCTGCGAGACTTCCTTCAAAAATGAAAAGTTGAGTGCAGCGCTGACGGCCTCGTACCAATGCGTTTTGCGATTTTTCCTTTCCACCTGTCTAAAGTACTGCGCCTGCCACGAAAAATTGATGCCATGTCATACGAAGTGCTGCACCTGTCACGCAAAATCATCTTAGCAAACCTACAGATCGGATGCTCCAAAATGCAACCCTCTCAGGAAATCAGCGCCCTGACCTCCTAACATCTCTGATGAACATGTCTTTTGTACTGCGCCTGCCACGCGAAATGCAACTTTGCAGATCCTCGTCAAATCTCCCACGCCTGCCATCGTTTTTGGAAATGCTACAAAACCCTCACGTTTTGCTCACTCTTGAGAAGGTGCACAATCCCTTGCGCCTGCCACGCGAAACGACATCTGAACGTCCAACAGTGGTCCGAACATGTGGTGCTTTGTACATTTTGACTTAGAAATGTGCTTCGCGCCACAAACGGCGTGCACTTTTTCGACATCTCAACTTCCAAAAGTGGTCCGAAGCTGGTGTGTTTTGTACATTTTGACTTGCAAATGTGCTTCGCGCCACAACGGCGTGCAATTTTTCATCTCTAATCTGGCCAGATGGCTCCACACCCGCCGCTTTAGCGAGCCTACTTTTCGACCCTCCGGAGCCACAAATCATTGGAAAAACACAGTGTTTTGCGACATTCCTACCTTTTCGCGCATCTGCATCTTCTTTCTTCTGACTCTTTCTCTTCTCTGATATTCTCTCTTCTACTCTTCTCCTCTCTCTGACTCTTCCCATCTCTGCTTTTCATCTGTCCATATTGTCGGAAGTTTGACTTCTAAACTTCCTTCGATGATTTTATGTGTATGCAATTGATTGAAAATGTGACTTAATATGATTTCATGTGATTTTGGTAACTGCCTCCTAAAATGGGAAGTTGGCGAATCAAAATCGGGGGTGAACCAATGTAAATTTGAATTTAATTTTACCTGTGAAATCTGGTATTTGGAATGTCAGCCTTTCTAGAATGTCAGCCTTTCCTTTGCACTTGAAACATGAAAACCCCAAAGTATTGTGATCAATTTTGATTCAGGCCTCCCTCCGCTGTAATAAGGAATCTACTGGTTTCCGAAATTGTCGATCCCTCGGTCCCTGACTGGAAACTTGATTGAAATCTCGTGATACGTTCTACCATCCAAGGCATGTTTCTTAGAGTTCGTAATGTTCATCGACTTCAAGATGCTTGCTTGCAAGGTATACAAGTGAGGGAAAACAATATGAGTTCTTCCTTTTGGTGCCACCTGGTAGGCTCATCAAGTGGCCTGCAGGTTTGTCCCCCTCTTCATCCTCTAGGCTGTTCCACAGCAGTTGCAGAGCATCCAATCCCAGAAAGGACCTCAGGTTTGGAGGGCCGGGGTCGCAGTCTTCTCAGTTGAGTTCAAGATGGTACAGTGGAGATGGAGCTCATCACTTTGCAAGCCTACTGACCTAGTGATTGTTGGGGGCAAAGAACCTGTTTGTTTGGGGGGATGCCAACTTAACTGGATGATTTCGATCAGAAATAGACGTGCATGACTGCCAAGAGAGAGAGAGAGAGAGAGAGGGCCATGTTCACAACAGTGGTCAAGATCCATTCCTCGCAATTCACGGGCACCGTTTCCTCCACCATTTAAAATTTAGCACGCCGAAACCACTTCCAAAGCGTCCAACATATGATTTCAAACTCTTCAAAACTGCCTCCCAAAAAGTCAGAAACTCTTCGAAAAAAAATCAGAAAATCCCAACCTTCCAGCCCTTTCCAGCCCGTTGACCAGCCCTTCAAAGGTCACCCAGCCACTCCTCCCTGGAGATCACCGTGCGCTGCTTCGTGAGACGACTGCGCTGCAGCTCCTCGCGCCGCGCGAAGACAAAGCTGGCGCGGATCAGAAACTCCAGTTCCACCACGCTGAAGGAAGGAGAACCTGACCAAAACACATGGATGGAAGCCAAAACCCATGGAAATACCATGGGATTTGTTTTACAGGATGTTTCATGATAATAATCCAATGGAAGATCCTATGACCTATGATATCATTAGGATTTTTGGAATGACATGTACACCAATGGGATCTAAATGATATTTTAAAAAAATTGGATATCCAATGAATATCCCAAGATCTAAATCTAATGTGTTGGAATGGATCACAGAATAAGAATTGTCATGGAATATCCCATAGTTTGATGTAATTGGGAATTTGGATGGAATGTAGTAACTAATGGTGTGTATATAATATGTGTATATATATATGTATATATATATATGTGGATGTAATTGCTAATGTAATTGATGGGTAGCAATTCAATGCAATTCATGGGATATAAAACCTGTCAAATTAATGGAAATAAATCACGGAAATTAATGGGATATCCATGGATATCCCATGATGTATTTGGGATTGTTGATGGAATATAATTGGATGGAAGAAATTCTTGGGAATTCCCATGGTGTCATTGGGATACAATGGAAATGGGATATGATTGGGGTGAGAACCTGACAATGGATAGGTTGTGTTGGAATATCTTCACTGGAAACCATGGCTTTTAGCTCCGCTCAAAACTGATGCCCAGCAAACGGTAAAATCGAGGATGTATCCAAATAGGGAGGGTATGGCCAGCAAACCATGAACTCGAAATTAGTTGACATATTGGAATAGTGTTTCAATCATATTGGAATTTTGTTTCAATTGGACTTGGAGAGTGCAGAACATGTGGCTTTTTTAGGACAACGAAGAGTCGGTGCAGAAAAAGGATGAATCCATCCCCCCGCCTCGGATCAAGCACAAGCGTTCTGCCGCCTTCTGCAAATACTTCCTTGGGATTGACCGGACCACGTGATGTGAAAAACCCCTCCAAAATATGCCAAAAATGCATATAAATGCTGAAATATCTGGGGATCCCTGAAACCAATCAACAAATCCATTCAGTCATCCCCAATAGCCTACTAACCAAAAATTGTTTGATGGTCTATCAGCGTTTATTGGTCCATCCAGGAAAAGACACATGCATGATACTGTCCTTTAATAACTATCATCATTGGTGTAATCAATATAGTGTTCATGTTGATAGTCATTATAGCAGCTGCTTAATTACACAAAGCTGGTTCGTATGAAATCATGGTATCTCGTTATCTTCGTTCATCTCAAACTGGTTAAATACATGTTATAGTCATGGCTGATCATGGCTTAATGTGGTAAACCCAAGAATAAACCTCCAAAATGTGGATGGTTTACACTCCAAATTTCTGGTGAAATTGGTGTTTCTTGACTATTGCGTTTAACACATGATCCACTCTATCTAAACCCCCATATAGCTATGTTTGTTGCAGTATTACAGTCAGTGTCTATATTCTTAAATTATCATGTCGTCTAAAGCCCAAAACCCCAGATTATCCAAAACCATACGTATGAGTCCATCAAAATGAGTCATCAACAAATAAGAACTATCCCATCCCATCAAAAACTGCTTGATTTTTCAGAACCCCTCCAAAAAAAAGGTGAACCAATCAACTATAGACTATAGGGAATGGTTCAATGGCTCAAGGTCTCCCCCAGGCTATCAGCCCAAGGCTCTGGACCTGACTGCGCTGCGCGAGCGTCGAGCTGCGCACGTCTTTGGGCAGCCGCAGCGGGGCCTCCGACAGAAGGCAGGGCGTGCCATCCTCGTGCCAGTTCCAGCTGCAGCGCGCCTAGCAACCAAGCAGCCAGAATGGATCTGTAATGGAGTTATACTGCTAGGGAATGGAATACTACAGTAGTACTACTAAAGATAAGAATAGTGGAATGAAAATGGGTGTAACTTATTGGAATGAGAATGACGGATTATAATGGGGTTTAAATAGTGGGGCTTATTTTATTGGAATAAGCATGTTTTTTAATTGGAATAGTAATAGACCATCTGGATCATTTCGGGGTTCATACTGCTACGGTGGGTGGAAGAAATCCTGCACCACCTCTATAACATCACATTTGCTAATGCATAACTTGTACCCCCGTACCCCCAAGTTCAATGTTGAATGACATGTTGACAGGTGGTGCAGGATTTCCGTCAATCGCACGAATCCATTTTGATCACTCCGTCTTCAAACAATATTAAATTAGGAGCGCGAGGTTTTAACTGTGGGTCTTTGAAAGTGGTGCAGGATTTCTTCCATCAACAGTACTAAAATTTCATGTGCCTAGTTGAAGAAGTGCAAAGAGGTAGCCGGCAGAAGCTGCAGGATCTTTTGACCATTTGCGTTTGCTTGTCAGATCATTAGTCTTTGAATTAAAGTTCAGGGGGCCTGGTGCATTTAGGTTTGACCATATTGCAGCACAAGCTGGCCGAAGCAGCGCTGGCATTCCGGAATACGGTTACCGGACTGACGCACTGGCAAGGGACGATGAAAGCTGTGCACTTTCAATCGTCGGAGCAACATTGTGTGCTCAGATGGATGCCCCCGAAGGAATGCGATGTGGGCTTTCTCCTGCAAAGGTCCCAGATCCTTCTCTTTGCAGGTGACAAAAATGGGGGCTGACCCTTGGTACAAGATGTGTCCGGTGTAGTTCGCACTGTTCTGTGGGCGGCTCAACGGGAATGGCTTTCCTTCATACCACAGCAACTGCGTCGGAAGTGGCAGGACCTCAGCATCAAAGGACCAATCGTCCAGAAGGACGACCTTCTTCCTCTCCAAACCCAGCAAAGGAAAGTTCCCGGGCTGTGGGGTAGCTTGCACATGCTCAACCCCGCAGACGGAGCGCAGGGGGCTCAGCCAGAAGGACTTGCCTTTGCCACCAAAGCGGCCCATGAGGACCAAGACTGGCACATCCTCACGGCGCCCATTGGCTAGCAGGCAATATATGTCCTGGCAGAATGCAGCAGGATCAATGCCATTGAGCATCAAGGAATGCATGGCCGTCTGCATCCATTGCCCATGGCACACACAAGCTGTCCCCGCAGCCGCCTTCAAGGTATCCAGTCGGCTTTGGGCATGCAAGGCAAGGAAGTCATCGACAGTCTCCCAAGACAAAACATCATCAATGAGGCTAGAGAGCTTGACTCTGTTCTTGACAAAAGCCTGAAGAGCTGGAGAACCATGAGCTTTCAAGTAGGACACCAGCTTCTGTGCTGCATTGCAATCATCTGGCCCATTGCGGAAACCGTGGCGGACGATGATGGGATACAGGTCAAGCTCCGTGGCGCGAGGTTCGGCCTTGCCACTACTACGGGCCTGTTTCACCTTGGCTTCCCTGGACCTGGCCAATGCAGCAGCTGTCAGAGGCTCTTGGCCTTGGCCCGGGGCGCGATATGCTCCATAAGTCGCATGCTGTGCGGCCTTCTTGCGGCCATCGGCATTGAGGTAGACCTTGAAGGACTTCCCATCAATGATTGCATGCAGCTGCTTGTTCCACCATCCAGGAGTCTTGCCATGGTATTTGCGTGCGAAAGCAAGCCGGTCCTTCACATCTTCTGGTGTCAAGACCGGCTTCTCTCGCAGCTTGCGGAAATACACTTTCTGCTGGTGCAGTGCATCCCGGATGACACGCTCGCCCACTTTCAACTTGGCAGCTTTCTTCAACATGGCAGCAGTAACTGTGTATTTACAGTCCGCCTTTCGAACCATCTTGTCCAGCAAGCGTTTCAAGTAGGTCACCTGGGCTTGCGAAAGGGACGGAGGTCTGCCTTGCTTCTTCTGGGGCACCTGCTTGACCAGCAACCGGGTCAGCACTGACTTGTCACGCCCCAAGCGTTCAGCAATGGCTGAAGGCGGTAGACCGTCTTCAGTGTACCAAGCATTGGCCAGCCTCACTTCCTCCTCTGTCATCTTTTTCCAGCCGGCAGCAGGCATGAAGGAAACAAGAGTGAAGCGCACTGAGGGAAATATGAGCAGAACGGACGATGGATTTGATCCTCTGGTGGCGAGAAGAAATTTGCAAGACCAAAGATTGGATCCTATGGAAGTAGCTGGTGATGAGAAGAAATCTGTAAGACCATGACCAAATATGCAAGAAGTCCTTTTCTTTCTTCGGATTGGATCCTTTGAAAGTAGCTGGTGGCGAGAAGATTTTTTTAAGACCAAATATGCAAGAATTTCTTTTCTTTCTTCGGTGGGTGGAAGAAATCTTGCACCACCTCTATAACATCACATTTGCTAATGCATAACTTGTACCCCCGTACCCCCAAGTTCAATGTTGAATGACATGTTGACAGGTGGTGCAGGATTTCCGTCAATCGCACGAATCCATTTTGATTACTCCGTCTTCAAACAATATTAAATTAGGAGCGCGAGGTTTTAACTGTGGGTCTTTGAAAGTGGTGCAGGATTTCTTCCATCAACAGTAGGGATTTCCAATGGTTTGTTAGTTATGACATATCATACTGCCAGGGTGATACCAATCCACAATCAACCAGGGTCAACTGGCCCCGGCTTATTTGTAGAGATACAAAGGACGACTTCTTTGAAGCCACCAGACCTATCAGCCGACTACATCAAACAAAAGGGAATTCAACTTGGCCTCGACTATCAGTTCGCAATCAAACCATATTTGTAATATTTGTACAGCTATAAATTGTGATGGTAAGACAACAACGTTTCCTTTTAATCCTCCCCATTTTTTCTGCACGAACCCCCGCGGTTTTTCACCCACCAGCCTGGTCCCCATGACTTCCACAAATGGTCAGCCAGCCAAGTTGAACATCAAAACTCACATAGGCGCGGCTGCGCACGCGCCTGAAGCTAGGGATTTTAGCAACCGGAATGGCGGCTTCAAGCAGCAAAACCATGCTAAAATACTGGGATGGTGATTTTACACCATTGATTTTAGCAACTGGAATGGTATCTTAAATGACTTAAGCTACAGTACAATGAAGAATACTACTGACTACTGCAACAAGAAAAAAAACATTGGGATTATAAAATACCAATAAATACCTCCATTTTTTGATGGTTGTTCCTTTTACCCCGTCCATGATGTTTTTAGTCATGAGTTTCAGCGGCCGCCAGTCATTGGGCCCAACTTGCGGTGATGCATGAAGTAGGGCGCAAGATTTGACAACACCCAAGGAAAGACACATCTTTGATGATCCCAAAAAAATGAGCACTGAACGAACCATTTTTTCTTAACTCAACATGGATTCTTGATGCTTCGTGCGCTGCAAACTGCCACTTCCCAGCTGCCTTTTGTATTGATTCAGCAGCAGCAAGACCAGCCGGCTGCCAATGCCAAACCTGCTGCGGCTATTGTGCCACAGCTCCCACTCGTAGAACTCGTAGCTCTCCACATAAGTCTCATGCCAGCAGTTGAAGGAATCCCACAAGAGCAACCTCAGTCAGAGCTGGAAAGGATGTGACGAGGAACTAGGGAATGGAACTGGGAATGCCATTGAAACAATTGCCAGGCTAACGCACGAATATTCTGTGGCTCAAGCATCTGCACGACTTGGAGTCAAGCCCACCAACTATAGGAGTTTGCGCTCTGAAACTCTTGGCCCCATCCAGGCCCTACAACCCATCTTGGCTCTAAGGGACAGAACCAGCAGCAGATTGAGGAGCAGAAGCAGCAGCACCATTCCAGTGGCCAGGATCTGGTTCACAATCTCCACATTACTTGAGAAGCGCAAGCCTTGCACCTTGCGCACTCCACTGATGATCCAACAGCTATACTGTACTGTTTTGAACCTGAAGAAACCAGAAAAATGCCAGGTGAAAGAAACCACTTTTTCCTGGGTGAAATCCCCCATGTTGAATCCAACAACTGGGGCTCGACTGAAAACCCCCGGCATTTCGGCCCACCATGATGCTATTGAACAGGAAGAACAGCGCGAAGCGATGGTCCCACTTCACCAGTGCAAAGTGTGATCTCCCAGTGAAGGGCTTCATGGCGCGCGTCAGCACCCCATGCAAAATCGCCAGGAAGAATAGGAAGCTGCTGCGCCCCGCCGGACCCAGCAAAACGGAGAAGACGATCAAAGCCTTCAAAAAGAAGATGTACCTTAAGAACTGGCAAGTGATATTTTGGAGAACGAGAGGTTTGTGACTGGTCATGGTATATGTATGGATTTACTATATGAATAGTACGGAATGGGATAAAATCAAACAATGCCACGGCTAATTGATTGACGTAAACGTTCAATGATCGCAGTATAACCTAGCCACCATGGGGAAAATCTGTCCACCCGGACGTTTGCAACCACCTAAGTTTGACCATACTGTGCATCCGATCAATTTATACAATTCTCAGCTTGTCATGAGGGCCAAAATTGATGCTATCCACCAAGAAACAAAAAATGGCAAATCTCCCTATTAGCACGATAAACATCACCTTGTAATACCTTGTAGTATAATTAACGATAGAAATATGATATGTCATATACATATATATATATATACACACCTCAAAGGGGTGATGTTCAGAATTGCTATGGTGAATTACCAGCTTCTTTCCCAAAAGTTCAAATGTCAGTCCCGTCAGTCCCCAATCTTTTGCTGCCCAAAGACATCTCCCAGTTCCAGCATCCCAGGCGATACCCGAAGCTTGTCACTGCATAGTCTGGAGGAAACTCAAAATCATCTGGCAGACCTTAGAGAGATTTGGGGTCCATCCGAATACTCACATCATCCACAGCCCTACCCACATCCCTACCGCCATTGGGAGGCCATTGGGCTTTTCTGGGCGTTTCAAGGGCTGCAAGCAGGATAGGCAGGGTCGATTCCGAAACCTTGAAAAATGGATGGTGCATCACTCTAAATTGGTCAAGTGTCTCCCTAAAATCATGACTGTTTGAAGTTTGAAGCTCCAAGACTTCAGCTCAAAGCGAAATTCCTTTTCTGCCTCAGACTTCGCTGGCGCCTGCAATGGAAGATCCAGGGCAACTGCCCAACTGCCTGGAGGATGCCAATTTCCCCCACCACCCATGTTGTGGGTCTCGGGCTTCCGAGATGATCGCATGACATCAGGGGAAAGCACTGGCAAAAGACTCTCCGTCTGTGGAGTGTTTATGCAGAAGTTACTACTAGTATACTACTAGTAATTTGCTGGCAGCTTCATCCGGGTCTGCCCCGGCCTCCAGCAGACCTTCAACTTCACGGCTTGATCAACATGCCCACCCCTTCAGAATGGTGCATCTGAACCGCTCTGTACAAAGGAGTGGTTCCGTTGTCGGTTCTGGCCCGGTTCCTGTCAGCACCATGCTGACACAGGATACGGACAGCTTTGGGGGGCAATGCTGTGTCCACATTTGCCTGGGCTTCAAGCAAAAGGCGCAGCACTTGGACGTTGCCAAATTGAGCTGCGATGTACACGGGAGCTCTTTCACTGCCACTCATGGGTCTTGTCCAGGTCAGGAACTGTCAAGCCCTGCCTCAATCACGGTCCACTCCAGCCTCGATCAGCACTCGTAGCACTTCTGTGCGGTCAGGCTGGGCTACCAAGTAGAACGCGGTTCCACTGCAATCACGTGTGGCCACATCGGTGCCCGCTCCCGCTTCTATCAAGCAACCAACGGCAGTCATGGCCTGAGGGGTGTACAGCACTGATGTTTGCAGCTCAGTTGAGCTGCCAACATCAACGCTACCCATCAGGCCATGAGTCTTGTGCATTCAGGTCTGCTTCGAGCAACAACTGGAGAGGTTCCATGTGTCCGTTTGCAGCCGCATAGTGCAGGGGAATGGCACTTTTGTGAGTGAGTTTGGGGCGGTTGGGGTTCGAGGACACTTCAGCAAGTTCTGTAGTGTTGCTACAGAACTTAGCTCTTGGCTGGAGATAGCATCTTTCTATCTTCGGAATCTGGCGGCCAACATTCCAAGACCACCAGCTTGAACCTGGTAGCCTCTGCAATGATCTCGTCATCCTCAACTTCCGACCCGTCTTCTGACAGCAAGCGTTGCCGCCAGTCTTGCCCTCATAGTCATCGACAGCAGCTCAGCAGCAAGCCTCTCACCTGACACCCCTGAACAAACGGAGCACATCCATGGCTGTTGCACAAAAGGGCTTTAATTGCGTCACATCTAATTTCTTGGGCCAAACTTTCACAGCAGATCAGGTACGTATCAAGTTTCGCAAAATTGAAGGCGAAACCCCAAAAGTGAGAATTTGCAGTATGATTGGCCCATGGCATTTTGTTGGGTTCAAACATGTTCAAGCACTATATAGAGGCTTGCAACAGGACTACCACAAACAGAAATCACAAAGATCTTACAGCCAACGACTGAATTCCCATCAGGGCCTCATGCACGGATGCACCCCAATATCAGCTTCCAAAAATGATCCGTATCATCCATCCGACCATAACATACACATTTAAAATCATAACATTCAGCTGGGCTTCATCCTCCTTCCAATAACATCCATCACCCCTTCAGCTGAGGCTCTGTTGCGCACCTTTCGCAGCATGTTGCTCAGAAAGACGGGAACACCCAGGGCCCAAAGCAAGGCCAACGACAAGTTGATCCACCTTGGAATCTGCCCCAAAAAATGCTGAGTTGAAGCATGAATCTTACCGGAAAGATATCACCAGATTTCGGCCATTTGATTTATGCCAATTCATTTTAAACTAAATGGCCATTCTGCAAACAGCCTTCTATCTTCTCATACCTTCAGGCAGTAGAGCTACAATCATTCCAGGAAATACCATGTCTACCTCAGTCATTCCCAACTAAGTTGTCATTTTGCTGCCCAGTTGGCCACTTCCCTCAGATTGCCAACTTGCCACGTGTACGGCACCGCCAGGTCCCCACAGGGCAGCTCGGGCGAGAAGAAACTCCGCGCGGTCGACTCGTCGCCCAGCTGAAGACATCTGAAGGCTTCCACCTGAGCCAACGGTGCAACCAACATGGAACCCACCGATTTCCACAAAACACCTATGAATCAGTGGGAACTCTAGGGATTTTACTGTTTTTTAATGATTTTTAGTGTGTGTTTGTGGGGACTGTTGGAAGAAAAATCAAGATCTTCGAAGCATAGTCCTTTCTCTATTGTCACATTGTCACTTGGAGGCTTTCTGGAGTTCGTTGCTCATTTTCACACGGTTTTCACCACACGGTAAACAACGAAAAATGATTATTTTGGCGTGCCCAATCTTGAGAAACAGCCACATACAACGTATATGCCAGGGTCGACAACGAGGGGAAAGGTCGGTTATGTAAATCTCCATTAATGTGGCTAAGCCAATCATCAACAATCCCCATAAAATACCATAAAATACCATAAATCTGGTACATGGCCCGTAAAAACCATAAAACCATATAAAACCATCCCCTTAAATGGTAGGTGTCCGTAGGTGTCCGACTGTTTCATTGATCATAGTTCATGCATTCATATGGAAAAATACGCCATGTTGTGACACATTTTTGTTGACCCGTCCGCACTGAAACCGAGGGGCCAATCCCATCAGCACTGGAGCATAGATCACCAGCAGTAGCGCCACCAGCAAGGGACGGGCCTGGTCACCTCACGGCTGAAAAACAGCATCGAAGTGTGGCTAGCAAAGGTTACCCCTGGTAACTTAACATAGCTATTGAAAATGGCCATTTATAGTGAGTTTTCCCATTAAAAAAATGGTGATTTTCCGTAGTTATGTTAGTTTACCAGAGGGTAACCAATAGTGATTCCCAAAAATATAGAAAAGTAAATCCTTATTGAGATAGTGATCATGCACTGTTCTGTCTTTTTGGGAAGTACTATACGGTTGATTCCCAAAAGGATAGGAAAGTATCGGAAAGTCATCCGCCATCAGGCTTCGTCGGAAGTCACTCGTCTACCTTTTTTTCACCCCTGTGGCATGGGCGAAATTTTGAAACCCAGGGGACTGCAGATGTTGGTCCATGCATCCTCGTGCACCGTTTTCACACCATAGATCCCATGAAAGCTGGTCTCATGGCTATCCAGACAGGGTGCACCAAAACCTTCAAGGATGACTACTTGCGAAAGGACCTGATTCGACTAGTTTGATTCATTTTGGGTCAGTTTGGGATATCTGGGTGCATACTCACCTGCTTGATGAGCATCCCATGTAGCAAGTTGTTCATACCCCTTGTTTGCAAGTCTTGCGTTGATTGCGACTATACCTTTCAAGTCTGGGTTGTGGACTACAATCACCCACGAATGCCCATCAACTGTATTTATGGGTTACATCAGGTCACATCACCATTCGAATTGTTGCGTTTCTTTTCCTCCCATCTTCCCCGACTGCTAGCCAGTCCCCAACAGCCCAGTCCCTGGCTACGTTGCTTCTGAGCCACTGAAGCTCTTCAAGAAGCTGCGACAGCCACCCAGGTCTGCTGCTTCAAAGAGTGCCAGGGAGGACCACAAATAGCCCGTGGTCTGGAAGTAGGCCTGAAGTGTTGGGGGATGTAAAACAAGGGGGCCTCTTGAAGCGGTTGGCCAAAATTTGGCAAACCCATTTCCGGGATAGTTTAATGGATGTGATTTATTCATGTCACCTGAAAACCCGGAGTTTTGGGATAGAATGAGGCTCCAAAATTGGGACTGGGGCCCAGTTGCTATACGCATGGTCTGATGTCATGACATGACCTGAGACTCCTCTGGTGACCTCGTGCCCCGGTGTTTCACCCCGGTTTCCACAGGTCATGTGCATCCCAAAAAGCGATTCAGAACCATGATTGCAAGCCAGCGATGTGGGGATATATATATATATACATATATATATGTATATATATATATATGTATCTATATATATATATATATATGACTCACTTTGAACCAGCTCAAGGCGCCTGCGGTCGGACGTCCTGTGAACAGATACTACACTGATCATAGCCATAAGGCCTGAGAATGACCATGTGAATTTCACTCCGGTCTCCTCCTGTGCTGCCTGGCTGTGAGACCAATGATACAAAAGAATCAGGCACAGTCGAAACATCGCCTGAATGTGCTACATGGGATGTCCTTTCCAGCTCGCTGCAGGTGTTTGCAGCTTGGCAAGTGATATTTTGCACCGCCGCTGGTGGTTCGGACTTCCTCTGGAAAACGTGCGTCTCTAATTCGCTGCTGCTGCTCCTCGTAGACCCGCTGCATGCGCTGGATGGACTCCTTCTTCTCCTCCAGCGTGTTCTTCAATCTCTGGTTCTCTCCTTTCAAATCTTCCACTTCTGAGGTTGCCTGTTCCAAGGCTTCCTTCATAGATCTCATATCGATCCGGTGAAGTCCAAGTGGTCCATCTCCGTGCACTGAGCTCGGTGCTGCGCCACCATCACCAGAACTTTCATCTCGTCGTGCCACCTTGTTGCCCATGTTTCGGAGCTGCTCCTTCAGGTCCGCAATCCGGGCTTCCTTTTCCTTGTTGGCGGTTGTCATTTGGACAACTCGTGTTGCGTTGTAGTTCTTCTGAGGCCGTAGTGATCTCCTTGTTGAGCTTGTCGATAATGTTGCGTTTTCGTTCCATCTCTTCTTCCAAGTCTTCGATCTTTTCCTCTGCCTTAGCAAGATCGCTATGTGCTTGGTCACTGTTCTCCTTGTGCGTGTCCCTGTTGTTGACCAGGACATACTGGTACTCCAAGAGTCGTTCTTTTTCTGCTTCCAGGTCTGCAACTTTCCGTTGTAGTTCGACAATCTCCTTCTCTGTGCCATCATCGTCAACCTCCATAGCATCGCTCATCTCCACCTTCAGCTTCATGTCCATCAGCTTGAAGACATAGTGCGCGATGTAGAGCCCGATCTTCCGCACGAAGCGCAGTTGGAACACATACTTCTCGGTCAGGATGGCTGCAATCACGATGACATAGATCAGGAAGTAGTACATCACCATGCCAATGTAGTTGGAACTCGGTTGAACTTCATGTTCACGAACGGCTTGTGCATTGGCCATGGATGCCATTCCCATCATCAGCGCCATCCGCATAGTGCTCGATGTCGAAACGCCCATCAGGCCGAAGAGCACCGTTGCGGGTGAGGCTTTGACAGCCTGCGGATTCTCCTTCACATAGTCCAGCAGCTTCTCATCGTCCATCATCAGGGTCTGCTCATCATAGTCCTGCAAGGACGGTAAAATGCGGCTGATCACCGGGTGATTGTCTACCCCATATATGGTTACCATCCCCGTAGTGAGAAACTGCAGCAACTCTGGACTTTGCATTGGTTTTGTCAATGCATCAGCTGTCATCGATTCAGTTGGAATCAAAGTTGTTTGACGGATACGGCCAGTGATGCGACCTTCACGAATGCCCAGCACATACAACCTCTGGGTTTTGTGTTGAGGTAAAACCTTCTGTCCAGTGCAAAGCTCGAAAAGGTCTCTGCAATCCATGTAGAAATCTGAAGGCAAAGCTGGGTTTCCGTTCTCTTGGATGTCCACCAATTCCTTCAGCGTAGGCTTGAGAGAAATGTGCATCATCTCTGAAAGTCGCACCATCACCAAAGTTGTGGATTCTGTTCCATTCACCATGGACAAAGTTTCAGCGTGGCTGGTGCTGTATGAAATGCGTTTTGCCTTTCCACCATGTGCATGCAAGACATGCATGACACCTCCATGCATCCTCACAGATTCTTCATCGTGTATCACCTCATGCTCCATCGTTTGATCTCGCCAATGGTCATCTGCAAGCAAAACCAAAATGCCTTCTTGTGCGTAATGACGACCATTGTTTGCAGAACTGGCATCATGTATGCAAACCAAACGTTGATGAGGTGTTTGAAATCGCCTGTAGTGCAAGGCGGCTTCTCGGCAATCTTTTGCTTTCACCAGCACTTCATTGGCCATCTTCAGCTCCTTCACAGTCGCTGTAGTCACCTTTGATTGTAGCAAAGAAACATCTGCCACCAAATCCAAACGAGTTGCGGTGACCCACAAAAGAGCACCCAGTGCAGATCTGAAGTCTGTGACCTCGGACTGTTCCAAACGTGAATCATCAGGTCTTGAAGGAATCGGAGCTGGCTTCATCTTGTCCACGAAATCCTCTTGGTCAATGGCATAACCGTCTTTGGTTCGGCGATAGGTGCATCCACAATGACTAAACGGCAGGCTCTGTCTGGAAACCTTCTTGAACTTCTGGACAAACTTGTTGTAGTGAGTGTTCAGCCATTTGGAAGATGCCGTCAGAGCCAAATCATCAACATGAGTGGTTAGCATCGCTTCCAGGTTGTCAAGGCTCATGTTTGTTGAGGGCCGCTTCCAAAGAAAACAGTTTTCATCCAGTTTGCTTCTCGCTGCACCTAAGTCCAAGATGTACTCATGCAAACATAGCTGCCAAGCCAGTGGAGCATCGTTGAGCCCGTAGATGGGTTTCAAACACAAAAGACCATATTGGTGAAGAGACTGTTGAGGAACCTTGAAAAGATCTGAGTACTTCTGCAAATGCCTCCATACGTTGAGAGGGGGAAACACCACCACCTGTCTTGTCGGTGCATCTAACCCAAGCTTCTTCAAGGACTCCTGGATTCGCTTGAAATCAAATCCTTTCAGGAAGGCACCGGCAATGTCCCAGCTCTCCACATCTTTGTCCTCGTCTCGAGCTGCTTGCGACACCAACAGTCGTTGTGACAATCTCGTCGCAGTGGTGCTTCGGGTCGTCAACTGTTGCTTCTGTGCATCGAAGCATCCCCGGGCACATAGTCGAGACTTGACCTTGATGGAGCCATCTGGGTATCGTTTGTGTTTCCGTACCCATTTGCAGTCGATCACCACCATCTCATCAGTCAACTGCAGTGAATGAATTGGCTTGAAAGCCTTTTCCTCCACGAACTGCTTGACTTCGTTGGAGTCTGCCAGATCAATCTCTGGCCACATCTCTGCAGAGATTTGGTGATCTTCAAAGGTACTCGTTTCTTGATCCACCTTGTAGATCTTGGCCGTCCGGAGACATGCAATGGCTTCACTGTTGCACTTGTAGTCGATGGTGAAGAGCATCGTCTTGTTGTTCTTGCGGTCAAGGTCGTACTTCTGCAGGAGGAAGTTCCTTGCAGTTGCGGTCAAAAGAGAATGACCCAAACGCCAATCTTCGCTGAAATCAAGTTGTACTCGAAGTTGGGGAGTTGTGGCGTTGTACCAATGTCGCATGAACTCGATCTCATTCTTGATGTAGGCGATCTTCTGCTTCTTCTTCTCAGGAGAAAGAATCACAGTGCGTGATTCTGGACCTTCTCGTTTTCTGCTCTGTGGATCTTCTTCCATTGGTGTTGGATTGGATGGTTCAGGAGCTTCAGGCTTCTCTTCAGTGTTCTCCTTCTTTGGATGAACATTTGGATGGATGGCTTCTTCGCTGACCATGATGTAATAGAAGAAGTAGAGGGTGCAGATGTCCTCCTTGTTGTGATTGGAAATCCTTTTCATCCGCCAATGGTTGTCTGTCTTGTGCTCCTGAATGGAGTAGTTTCTTCCACCATGAATCCATGTGATCAGAGTGCCAATGGTTCCAGCTGGGGGTTTCATGGATCGAAGAGCTCGTCCAAATAGAACACCATGTAGAGTGCGACTTGTGAGGCCTTTTGAAACTGTCTCTGCCTTGGCAATGATGTTGATGGCCTCGTTGTTGTTCTTTGGCAGTCGCACCCAAGACTCATTCCGTTTGCGGATCCAACCATAGAGGTACACCTTGTACTCGGACATGTTCTCCACGTACTTCATGAGCTTCCAAAGTGCATCGTCCATCTGAGGGGTTTGAATCTCCATGTGGTAGATGCCACGGAAAGCTCGGATGTGTCGCAAAGAGACCAGGTAGGGCTTTCCTTGATACTGTATGATGGCAACTCCTTCGTCAGCATCAAGGCGTAGTAGAAGCGCCGGTCCTCGCCATCCTTGGTCATTCTTGACCTCCCTGTAAAATTCAACTTCTGAAGTTCCGGCCACAAGTTCGCCAACATCCAATTGGTGAGGTCTCGTCCTTGAAGCTCGTGCCACTCTGTCTTCAATGACAGCCTGTTGTGCTTGTGCAAGAGATGTCTGTCTGATCCGTAGAGCTCGTTCGAAAACTGTCAGATCTGTCTCAAGAGCTCCCTCGGTGTTCATCACATGCTCGGAGTCAGGGTTGTAGAACTCCCGAGGCATGGTGCCGTAAACGGCCATAGATGGAGTCACACCGCCGTAGGACAAAGTCAGGTTCTGGGCCATGGCTGCTTCTTGTCCAAGCTCAGGTTCAGTTGGTTGAAGACCTTGTCGTTGAAGTTCCGCTCGTAGTTTGAACATAGTGAGCTTGGTCAACTGGACGTGTCTTTCCACGATGCCTGTACCAGTATGTTGCTCTGAACCATGACCAGAAGTAGTGCCGCGAGGACAGCGGTTGATTCCCAGGCGTTCAAATTCTGCACCAGAGTCGTGACTCATCAATGCCACCTGCTGATCCAGCACCAAACGTTCAGGAGGTCCAAAGTGGTAGATCCAAAGTTCCAGGATGGCCTTCATGAGATGTTCGGACTCCTGTCCATCAATGGTGCCACACTTCTTGAAGCGTGTTGCTTCGTCGATCAGCAGCATAAACCATGTTGACTCCCAATAGAACAAATCCATTTGGACCGTCTCGTTGAAGACATGGGCACCTCGTGCTCGTAGTTGAGGACGATTCGGAAGTCTGATGTGCTTCCTGCAAATCGCACAGCACTTCACAGCCTCCTTCGCAAGGGAGATGACTTCGCCAGACATGCCAGCTCTTCGAAGAAGATTTGTGAAATCCGAAGCTGGTGAATGCCAAAGACGTTCATGCAGTCCCAGCAGCAGTCTTTTGGCTCTTTCATTTTCTCCTTGTTCCACCATTGCTGGAAGTCGTTGTAGAACTCGTCGCAAGTTGTAATTTGGTCGAATCGGAGCCAAGGCTGCATGAGGTTGGACTTCAAATTCTTCTTCTCCTGGTTGTTGATCTGGTTCCGCTGGCTCATAGGCTGGCTGCATCAAGGCTTCATCATCTCTTCCATCAGGTAGAGCTCGAACTGAAGGTTGTGCAAGAGGCTCGTCCTCCTTCTTCTTGAAGCTAGGCTGTGATGGAATCGATCTGGTTCTTGTCATAGGAGTTGATGGAGCTGGCACACCTTGCAACTCTGTTCCAAAGATGGTAATCATCCAGTCGTCCTCATCGATCGCTCCATAGATCTGATTGTGGCTGCATTCTCGTAAATCTTCTACTGGATGTATGTGCCACTCCTTGACATGTCCTCGAATTTGCAGTCGAAGATGAGATGATTCCACAGCCAGAACAGGTTGTGCGTCGCGAAGCTTGGAAGGGCGTAGTTCCACTCGCACTCCACGGACGAGCAGATGTCCACCAAAGATCTCCTTGAAGATTGCCAAATGGGTTGAAAGGTCAATCCAGTGGTCGTACTCAATCTTGTTCTTGATGGCTTCTCTGACGTACTCCAAGGTCATGTCAACTGCTTCAATCAGCAGCCTCTTGAGATAGTGTTGTTGGGATTGGTCAAGTACTGGAAAAGAGTGGTCGTGGATCTTGATGGATTCGTAGTTCTCTCTGTCAGCTCGTTCTTTCCAGTTGGCAAGTGGGTCCACAGGTGTTGTTGTCTTTCCTTTTCCTTTCGGACCAGTGCCAGCTGCCCAACGTCCATGTCGACATTCTTTGGGAACCATAGTGTGTGGAATGTCTGAAGGACAAAAACGACCAAGCTGACATCGAACACATTCGTAGAAATGTTGAACAGCAAAATGTCGAAGATGTTCAGGCCATCGGCCAAGCTGTAGCAAGTTGTTGTTGTGGAGAAAGTCAATCACATCCAACTTCATCTTCTGGCACATGCTGCGAGGATAGGCTGCGGCTTTTGATGTCATCGTCAAACCACTGGAGTCAGTTCCACGAAGGTGAGCATGTAGTTTCCCTTTGTGTCCAGAACAGCGTAGAGCAGTGCGCTTCCATTTGATGTTTGAAGAGAATCCAGTAGCCTTCTGAACAGGGGCTCCATGTTCATCTTGAGCTCCAAGCATGCATTGATCCAGACGTTGCCGTTTGCGATGTCCTGGAAGAGCTTGAAGTCGTAGTGGATTCTCAGGTAAATCTTCTTGGAAAAGTGCGCTACCCAAGGGCTGTTCCATGTTGTAGCCACGGGAATGTTTGCATTGACGCTCACATGTCTCCTGGGTGAACTCCAGCGATGATCGAGCAGCCCAACGTTCTTGCAGTCGAAGTTCAGGATCTTTCGATGACGAAGAGACACTCCATGGTGCACAGTCAGGTGCAATGTGCACCACTCCTGGTTGAAATTCAGCTTGGGCTTTGCAAAGCATAGCTTGGTGGCTTTCGTTTGACAAGTCCCAGCCGTAGCGGAAGTCCACGGGAAAGCCAACAATGAGTCCAGCCATGAACATCACCAAGCTGAGTCTTCCAGTGCCGGAGAAAAGCTCCCAAAAGTGCCATCGAAGTCCTTTTCCTTTGGTTCGGTTGAACCACTTGTTGAAGTTCTTGGGGGTGACTGGAGCCATGCCCGTCTTTGTGTAGTACTCCTCAGGAAGGGCCTTGTATCGTCTTGTCAGCTTCGGCACATCAGCGCCTTCAGGCAATTGGTCCTCCTGGTACTTCGGGAAGTGCTCGTCGTCTCCAGCTGTTGATGCCAAAATGGCAGAAGCTTTGGAGTTGGTAATCTCTGCTTTGATGTCGTCGTAGTGTACGTGAGACTCCTTGGGAGTCAAAGGAGACTGATTGGCCAAAATGGCTGGCTCCTGTGAAACTGGTTGTTGCGGCTCGTCCAAAATGAACTGAACTGCCTTGGTTCGGACAGTTGGAGCCGATTCAGATTCTGATCGTTGTAGATCTTGTTGCAGTGGTACTGAATCAGGTTCAGGTCGAAGTGCATCATGTTGTTGAGATGGTTGGTCATGTGATGGAGGTAGATCAGGTTGTTGTGTTGTGGATGTTGTATCATGTGGTTGAAGTGAATCAGGTTGAGGTTGTGCTGAATCAGGTTCATGTGAGTGATGCTTGTCAGGTCGATGTCGTTCCTGATGATTGAGTTTCTTGCTGTCGCTATGGATGGTGTCTTCGTTTTGATCACCCCGGTCACCTCCTGGCTGCAAAACGGTGACTGGCCTGTTGTAGTTGAGGAAGCAATGACGGACTCGGTCATGAACATCGTTCCATAGCTTGGCACTCTCCTCAGCGACCTTCTGCGTGAACAGCATGACTTCCTTCTTGGTCTCCTTGGCCACGCGTGCTGTCTGCTCGTGGTCGGTCGGCAGGATGTAGTGCCCCGAGTCTGTCAAGAGCAAGCGGAAGATGCGGTAATGCTTCTCCTCGCTGTCTTTCTCTCTTCCACCAACCATCATCAGTCCATCTCCATTTGCAAACCAGTTGGCGAAGATACTGGCATCAAGGCGACAGAGTGTTGGGTTGCCAACCAATGCCGGGCAAGTAGAGCCAGAGCCGCCAATGACATCTGCCGTGTACGTGATGGAATAGCCGCCAGCTTGCAAGGGAATGGAGATTTCTCCCAAGGTCTGATTTGCTTCGCCGCTGATGCCGCTCACAGGGGTTGTTTTCTGGTAGTTCATGGAGACCTCATGTTGTTTGCCAAAAGGCGTGATGCAGTTGTCCATCAGCTGCTTCAAGGTGTCAGAGCCTATTAGGCCCGATGCTGCTCCTGGGTCGATAAGAAGACCATGGCGTTGTTCTCCTCGAACATTGAAGTAGCTCTCCAACACATCCATCTGGTTGCCCGCATGGAAGACTGCAAAGTTGAAGGCTGTGCCATGTTTTCGTTCTCCAGGAGGTTGTGCATGACCATCTGAAGGCTCTGCAGCAGCTTTTCTGGTAGTAGATCTCGCCCATTTGAAGTCTTCTTCTTCTGAAGAAGTGTGCATCACAAAGGTCTCAGCATGGTTGTTGTAGTTGGCAGTGACGGTGTTGAAATGCCGCGTCGTTGATGTCGATGTAGTGGAGTCTGGAATGCCTTCGGAGAAGTCGATCTTAGGTCTTGATGCCGATGAAGAGGAATACCAGTAGCGCTTGCCTTTTCCATAGCCTTTGCCACCGGATCCAAACTTTCCTCCATACTTGCCACCGTACTTGCCATAGCCTTTCGACTTTCCGAAGCCCTTGTAAGGTCTGTAGCCGCCATAGCTCTTGCCTTTGCCCTTGCGTCCAAAAGCATAGCCTTTTGCTTTCCCTTTTCCATGTTCTTGTCGGTTTGATGGCAAGGGGCAATCGCGAGCCATGTGCCAACGTGAGCCACAGTTGAAGCATCCATCTCCACCTTTGCCCTTGGCTTTTCCACCTTTGTAGTAGTCCTCATGGATCTGCGTCTCATCCTTGTTCTCGGCATCCACAGTCTCGTTTGCTCCAGAAGGTTTCTGTTCTTCTTGGGACTCTTCTCTCCAGCCAGCATCATCATCCCAGTAGTAGTTGCCGTCGTCATAGTCATAGTCGTAGTCCCACCAATCATCGTCTTCTGGATATCCTCCATAGCCATACCACCATAGGTCTTCATCATCATAGTCATGGTTCCAGTCCTCCTCATAGAGCTCCTCATCCATGTAGTCGCCATAGAAGATGTCGTGGTCATTTTCAGTCCTGTTTGGGCTGAGTCTCAAAGCCAGGCCTTTTGCATCGTCGAATCTGTTGTAGTCTCCATTGACCTGCAACTTGATGTCGTCGATGGTCTTTGCTGGTAGTCCGCTGTGCTTGAACCAAAGGTAGAACTTGGCGACGTTGTTCAACTGAAGTCCTGCTCTATCTTGCGCCTCGTCATACCTTGTCTCGAACTCCACAGCGTACTCAGCCAGTGACATCTTTTGACCTTGACGGGTGAGGCCGAAGAACTTGTCCAACGCTGCTGTTGCAAGATCTTGGTCACGTTGTCCAAAAGCTTGTCGGAGCGCATGCATGAGGTACTGCACTCCGCTGGCTATGTGGTTCTGGATGATTGCACCAGTGTTGGGGTCCACCACCTCGTCGACAGCCAGTCGTGACAAAGCGTCAGGGCCAATGTCCAGCTGTCCATCGGGTCTGGGAATCCTCAAAGACATCGCCACCTTCGCCGCTCGACCATGTAGTCTGCCGGCTATCAGTGGTCCGACAACTTCGTCTTCAGCTGTCGTTGTCTTGTACCACAGCTGCAGTTTCTCTAGGTACAATCTTAGAGGATAACCAGGGTCCCCCGGAGCCCAACCCGGTGGAGTATCCCTTCGGAACTCCTGCAATGGCAAAGTCCCCGTTGAAGTCGGAGGATTCATAGTTCACCACGCCAACCAATGCTAGCAAGTGACAAAGAGCTCCTCCGTGATCGGCCAGTAGAGCAAGTTCACCGCTTCCGCCAGTGCAAGCAAGTGACAAAGAGCTCTGCCAAGACCAGCCAGTAGGGGAAGTTCACCAACGCCAGAGGCCGTAGACCTTCAGCAGCAAAGGTCAGGTTGAAGCGCTCGAAGATAGGTCCAGGGCCTAGTTGAAGAGCACCTCGAAGTTGTCCTGGATCACCACACCAAGCCCGTTGCCGCAGAGGCCACCAACCAAGGAGTCAGGAATCTCGAGCAGCCGCAGGATGTAGTGGCCACTCGTAAGTGGCAACCTGCCTCCGCAGGTGGCAGCCGAAGGAGCAAGCCCGCGCACAAACGCGAGGGCACCGGCAACGGAGCCCGGTCGTCCGGGCTCCGCTACCAAACTCACTTTGAACCAGCTCAAGGCGCCTGCGGTCGGACGTCCTGTGAACAGATACTACGCTGATCATAGCCATAAGGCCTGAGAATGACCATGTGAATTTCACTAGCGATGTGGGGATATATATATATATATGTATATATATATGTATCTATATATATATATGTGTATATATATATGTATATATATATATGTATATATATATGTATATATATACCCTTCTATCTACAGGTTCTCATCCAGTTTGAATCCATTCCTGGGACACATATCCTACCTGATCCAGGAGCCTTACAAAAGCTCAACCAATCCTCTGCATCGTAGCAGGCCAGTGTCTCTCTGGTCCCATCCTTCACCAACTCCTGAAGCGATGCAAAAAGTGTAGCACCCAAAAAAAATCAAACATCAACCATTCCTAAAATCCACTCAAAAACACACCCACATGCCAGATCTTCCAAAAAAGTCATCGAACTGCTTTGGGAAGAATCCTCATAGAAGCGCAGGCAGCTCTTGAGGAAGCTGCGATCTTTACAGAGTCGCAGGCGCACGAAGCACAGGGCACTGAGGTACAGAAAGATCCAAAGAACCCAGGGCAGCAGGAACCAGAAGATCAACTGGAGGAGTTCCTTTGGTCAGAATTTGCTTGGGAAAATATGGGGGCAAGGTTGATATAAATTGATATATGGGAAAGTGTTTATATAAATAATGCAGATTGATCTATGTGTACGGAAAAAAATTAGATATAGATATGGAGGAGTGTCTGACCTAAGCGTTCCTGAAGCCGCTATCTTGTATCTGGTCGAGCTTCAAACCTAAGGTTTGCAGATGGACCAAATGGAAGATACGACAACAGCAACATGAGTCATTCTGGATCTTTTTGTGGAGCGGATGAAAAATGATGGGCCAAAGAGGCTTGAAGTCACCAGCAGAATGGGTCAAAAGCCAGAAGTTCAATCCACCAAGGTGGTCCAGATAGCCAACCCTTCAACCGTTGCAGATGGTAACGTCTTCCTGGTTACCTGTTTTGTATGGTTGAATCCTCAATTAATGTTGGGGAGTCTCTTAGTCTCTGAAGATGTCATAGACCCATAATAACCCCATATCACTCAACCATCAACCACCATTGATAAACTCCGCATTGCTCAGTTGGAAACTGGTTTGCACCCCTGCTTACAGTTTACAGATATACAACAGGTTTGGAACTATGATCGTATCAACCCGGGTTCTTCACTCCAATCCATCTCATCTCTGAAATTCCCAACCATAGAAATTCCCATTTGTGCGGTCCATTCCCATGAAAATGCCATCCCATTATATCATATCCCGCTGAAAATCACCGATTTTAATGGTTGGTTGTATCCTCTTTTAATCTACGACCCCAACCAAATATCCATGTAGAGTAAATATGTATACATATATATATATATATATTATATATATATATATACATGTGTGTGTACCACATTTTCTCCCCATGAAATCCCATGAAAACACGTCTAAATCCACCATATTTCCACCCCTAAAAACTCCCCATTTTTCACCCAGTCTCCACCGCGCCCTGGTAGGCTGCGAGCTTCTGCACCAGCGACCGCGCCTCGGGCGAAAACCAGCTGCCGTGCGGCCAGGCATTAAGGCCGCCCAGCTCCCAGGAGGCCAAGGCCTACGAGGTGCGGAGCACAAAGTGGTCAATACTGGGTTATATAGGTTATATATGGTTATATATATAATACTTATTGGTTATATAAGTACTAAAAATTGGTTAAGTACTAAAAATTGGTTATATATTGATTCTATAGGTTATATAACTGATAGAGTATAAACTATAGTATAAGAGTTTTATAACGGGTATATGACTGATACAGATTGATACATATGATAGCTTGCTCGTTCGCAGGAACGCCTTATCCACCAGCCCAAGTCGCCTCGGACATCTCACTTGCCCAAAGTGCCTGGACCTGCCATCGTTGGGTGTCTAACATGGGCAGAGCGTACCCCTAAAACATCCTACTATTGAATCACCATGGCGACGTTTCGACAACTCAAAGATACGGCTTCCTACAAGTCTGAGTCTGAAATTGTCCTCCACTTGCAGTGATCAGAGAAAACGAATCAAAACTATTTGGAGTTTCAACCCATCTCAAGACTATGTATCAGTCAATTGCTGATCATTAGGAAAACTCCCTGAAAATTCCATCAATTTCGATGTTTCTTTAAAGTCTTCCCAATCAACCAACCGACATCAAAATGATGCCAGTGGTTTTAATGCATCCGCACATCTATGATTACCCCAGATTCCACAGTCCAAACAATTTTTGGTCATATCTTTCCCTCTAGAAATGTAGTTTCCCAACCAAAGGTCACACTCGACTCCCAAAAAGTGGTTTCAGTCCTCAAAAATATCTCTAAAATTGACATAAACATCATAAAACGACCAAATTCATCCCAATTTCCTAGGTGTTCCTATGGTTTTCCTATGGTTTTCCTATGGTTTTCCTATGGTTTTCCTAGGTTTTCCTATGGTTTTCCTATGGTTTTCCTACGGTTTTAGGCATCCCATGCTATCCCATGGTATCCCACAGATCCCGTGTCAGGGCACCATGCCGTGGCTCGCGCCCACGGCTTCCAGCGCCCGCGCCGCGGCGTCGCCGGCGCAGCGCGCCCAGCGCAGCAGCTGCGGCGACACGGCGGAGACCACGAAGCGCGAGAGGAAGGCGACGGAGGGGCGAAGACGTAAGGCCTGGGGCGGGATGTCATTGGATCACCATGGATCACCAGGAAGAGGTTAGAATTGTTAGAATAGAAATATCTTATTGGATTCATCATGATTCATCATCCTTTTTGTGATATGATGATACCAAATGATAGAAATGTGTATAATCATATAAGAATATTATGTGATTATACAATATGTGAGTCATAGTTGTATGATGGTGTATGATGTTGTATGATGTTGTATGATGTTGTATGATGTTGTATGTAGGAACTGCGGGAAAAAAAAAAGTACCCCCAGGGCCCCAGGAAGTGGTTTGTAGTACACTCTCGTATTCCTCCATGTATCCATGTAGTAAGACCGTCTACATACTGGTAGAAATATTAGTTTCACATATCTTTAGAAATATATCTCGAATATGATTGGATGGTTCTGCGGTGATCCATAAGGGTCTGGATCACCTGCGTTTTGGAGACTGGATAGGGAGTACGGATCGCCTGTGCGTTTTAACCCTTGATCTGGACCTTATATTTTGAGCCGCGAATTGGGGTTCCTCCAGCTCCGAAGACAACAGTTGTGATCCCTCATTCTGATTAGTCATCTTTCCACAGCTGCGCCAAACCGCGGTTTTTTGCGGCCTGCAGAGCAGTCTCCAGTAGGGCGTCGGCCACCACCAAGTACAGGAGGAAGATTTTGATGTAAACCACACCTCGACAAACTGTTCTGGTGTCCACGGTGTCCCTTGCGATTTTGAGCCCCAGTGTAATATCAAATCACCCCTGCTCTTTGGAATTACCATCCCATTTAAAAGCGATCAATAAAGCCAGTGATACTGGTCTTCCGCAGCTCTGGAAACCTTGCCCTTCAAAGGAGGGGTGACACATGTGAAATGTAGACATCATCGAACCTGCGAAGAATCATCTTCTTCAAGGTTCAACAAGTACGAGTATCTGTTCACCAGATGTTCAAAATCCTCCAACAATCAAACCAAACAGTTGATCCAAGAGTTTACATTTCAACATGTTTGAAGCCTCCCGCAATCTCCCAACATCCCAGCCCAGCCACGCAAATCCTTGGGTCGATTCCTTCGTGCCAAGCCCAGTTTGGCCAAGGTCAGGGCGAAAAACACCACCAACACTATGAAGGTGCCCAAGCCGAGCGCTGCCTCCAAGCTGTTGCAAGGGTCGCAGCCGTCAGATCCTGCCCGACAGGGGCTGTGATGGGGCAGCTATGGGTAGCTATTGATTGGTTCATCCCAAAATATGTAAGCTACAATTTGCTGTTGACGGTTGATGATGATATGTGGGTACGGAAGTAGGGTAAAGTGCATACTAGTAGCATGGCAGGAGATGGTTTATCTTCAAAGTAAGGAGCCACACAACGACAGACAGCCCCATTCTTGCGAAGGAAAGTGATGATATGCCGTCAGGATCCAAATCTTGAGAATCGGACAATTCCCATCTTGAGACAGAATGCTTGAAAAAGTGCAAGCCATCCGGCAGCCATCCCTCAAACACTTTCAACTGCCAACCCTGGTGCTCCTCCCCTGACATGGCGAGGTAAGCAGCTGAAGCATTGCACTCCAGCACTGCCACTTGCGCAGCTCTCATTCCGCAAACACTGCTGCGGTGCCACACATGGCTCCCACGTCACCTCTGTGCCCATCCGCCTCGTCCAGTAGCCCTCTCGGTTGATGCCAGTCACCAATCCCTGGCCATCAAAATCAGCACCTTCAACTGCCAAGAGACATTCACTGCTGTTCTGGTTGGGTTGATAAGTCCCTTCCGGACACTTCTGGCAGTTCACCCCATCGCTGCGGTGCCCCTCGGGGCACCCCTGGCAGCCCGTCATCCCCGCGTCCGGCGCCGCACGGCCGCCAGGGCAGGCCGTGCAGCTGGTGCCGGCACCGCCCGCGAAGGTGCCAGGGCTGCAGGCTACACAGCCGGTGCCACCGGGGCTGCTGCTGCCGGCAGGGCAGGGCTGGCAGCTGGTGGCACCCGAGCTGTTGGAGACGTGGCCCACGGGGCAGGGGTGACAGGTCCTTGGAAATGTTGGGAAAATGCTCGGAGGAAAAGTTGGCTGATGAAAATTCGGGCGGTTTCTCGAAACTTCCTTCCCATCGAAAAAATTGTACGAAACCAAATCTAGACCAGTGCAACTCAGGTTCCCATTTGCCCCGAAAGTGCCAGCATCGCACTCTCGACATTGACAATTCAACGTGTAGAAGCCAGAAGCACAGGTTGCAATGCTGCCTTCGCATGGTAAACCTGGCTGGCGAGACAGCGCAATACGTGTTCGGGTCCCACGACCATGGGTCCCTGCGGCTCCCATCATTGTATGCCCACTGCCACACTGCATGACTAAATAATCCTAGACGCAACCAATGTTCACCCAGAATCTTGGGTTGGCGACATCCCTCTTTTCCATCAGCCAGGGAACAGATGCGGGTACCGTTACCCAGATCCATAACATACTCCGAAACTCCACAGCTGCGGCAGAAGCGGCGGTGCAACTGAGGATCCTTGATAGGGTTGCTGCAGATGGGTATGGGTGAAGAGCCATTGGAAACCCCACACAATGGGATGGTTCTGGATGCTCAAGACCCAAAGTTGAAGGAGATAGATGAATCATGATGAATCCACCAACAAGTTGTGGGAGAATCAAACAAACAGGGACATGAACCAACGAAACCGAGAACGAAACATACAATACCAATAATTGGAGAATATCAACCTGGGACGGGTTACGACCAAAAATGAACAGCCATCTGAATATATCTGAATTTCCTTGAGCGCCTTCAAGTTTGGGGGTGCCCTTTTCCCACAAGTGGATATGGTTCAAAATCCTCGGGTACTACTTGACAAGATTGATCATGTTGAGCATAAAACCATCCAAGTATATCCAAGTATTGGGGTCAATAATTCCAATCCATTAGCCATATGTGTTGAACCTTCCGAGATTTGTTGGCCAGTATCCTGCCTGATTTGGCTCGGGTACAGTACTATATCATATCACATATATATATGTTATATTATATTATATTATATCATATCATATCATATCATATTATATTATATCATATTATATATATATCCCCATATATCCCCATATATCCCCCGTTTTAACCCCCATAATTTATCGTTGGCTACCGAGCCACGAAGATGGACACCTTGTTGCTGACGCACTCGTCGCAGAAGCTTCCGTGCGGCAGCACTTCCTTGAAGGACAGTGAAGCACAAGAATGGTTTGAAACAAACCAACATGTGTTAGAAGTCACAGAAAAAACTACGACATCTGTTTAGAGTATTTAATTTATAGCCCAATGAGAAGGATATATACATATATAACTAACATATATAACATATATATAATATGCATATTTATCATATTTATCATATACTTAGTTACTTCCCCAATCAGTGTTTGCAACTGACATGGATATCACCAACAACCCATTGTTTAATCGGCACAACCAAATCATAGGATGATCCCAGAAAATTCACCACGGTTTTTGGGTGAAACTTTGGGTAAAAGGTGGTACCTTTTTCCTGTTTCATGACACGAAAATGCCATTTTTTTGCCAATTGTTTGCTGTAAAACATGTAAAACATCTCCATTTCTCTCAAAACCCGTTGTATAATGTTGTATAAAGCCTCCCTTGAGGCGCCAGAGATGGCGCTTTCACCAAGCCTCAAAGCCCCAGGTGCTACTGCCACTTTCGAAGCACGCCCGATCTCCCTGCACCGGCAATGGAAGGACCTCAGAGCTGCTGGTGCCTCATGAGTTGGCTACCACCGTTAACCACGTTGGGGAGGGTGTTAATCTTGGGTTAACATCAGGCTAACGATTGGATTTATGATCCTCTCATTAGATTCATTAGATAGGAATGTGGGCCTTCCAGTGAAAACAATGCTACGCATCACACCGAATCAGGCATCTCTATGTATTTTTCTGGGAGCGGCCCCAGTTAGATCATGTGGGTCTAGTTTCTGGCAACCAAAAAATCCCGAAGGCTGTGGAGGCAACGGAACCATGTTTAGCTCGAATTGTCCCATCAATGCGACATCATTCATATACCCTCTGGTAATGACTAACATAGCGAACTGGAAAGATCCACCATTTTTAATGGGAAAATCCACTATTTCTATGGCCATTTTCAATAGCTATGTTAAATTACCAGAGGGTAGTTGTTGACTGCCTTTGTATCCACGCAACAAATGATGGATGTTGCTCAGCTAGCCACACGCTACTTGATGGTTGGTCACCTGGATCTTTGCTTTGACCTAGGTATCGCTACCTGGCTACACATTAATTAACACCAACAGTTAAGTGTCCCAGCGTTGCACGGGGTTCAGCTGCAGCTAGATGGCTCTTATCCAGATGTTTTGCAAGTCAGCGTTACTCACCAAAGACGCTGGTTATTATATACCATTGTTTTGCTCACCTGCCACGCGCATCGTGTACCTGGTGATCAGCGCAAGTCAAGAGACGGGATCGCGCAAGGGCTGCAAAACGCTGCTGTTTTGCAAACCTGAAACTTCCAGAGCGACCACGGTGGACATCACACACCGAGACTGATGGCCACAATGATTTGCAGAAAAAATCTGAGACCAGGTGATATCCTTCCAAAGACATCCAAAAACGGGAACGGTTTTTGCAAGATGCTGTTACAACGGCGCTGCATCCACCAAGAGACGCTGCAGCACTTCGCAGCCAGAAGCAGGGGTGCAAACTGTTCCCTGGCAAGGCCAGGGGGATTGGCGCATCTCCCAAGTCAACTGCTCTCAGCACAAATGGTGGCCTCCCAGCTGAAGGTCAACAGCTGGGGTGTGGGATCTTGCGGCAGCAGCTGTGTGAGCCAGGCGCCTTGACCGGCGCTGTCAAAGGGGCGGCAAGGATTCTTCGGATATCTCTGATATCTCTGATCTAATTTCGAAGATCAGCTGTAAGTTGAGGATATCATCTAGTTCTATCTAGTTGATGTTAATAGACTTGTTTTCAACATTTTTCAACAATGACCAACATATCTTCAACATATATATATATATATGATAAACATATATCTATTAAAGCAAATGTAGATAAGTATCATTATATTGACATAAATATCATTATTAAATGACATATATCTATATAGGATCATTTAATTAAATATGTTTTTTGTGAAAGCATATGTCGGACACCTGAAAATCCTGAGGCCCTGGCCATGTGAGAGAGCACCATCTGCGTCCTCGGCACATCGGAGTGGTTTTCCCATATGTTTACCCTTCAATATGTGTATATATATATATATTAATAATAATAATACTATTATCTATATAATTCTATATATCTAGTATTTATCTATTTATTCATTTATGCGTTTGTCTATGTATTTATTATTTGTTTATTTACCTATATAAGTATATATATATATGTATACATATATATATATATGTATATACATATATATATATATATAGTTTTTAAGTCTCAGAAATCCAAATGACTCACGGATTAGCCCTGGAATTTTGCGGATGTTCAAAATGAGTCGATTGACTTTCGGGCTATACTATGGGGGTTTCACTTGTTTATTGATTCTTGAACATTGGGAGGGAAGAATTGTGTGGACTCAGGATGAGATGCGAGCTCAACCGGCAGTTTGACTCCTGGGCTAAAGGACATGGCTCTAGCATTCCGTTGGGATTTCTTGATCGCACTTGCATATGGTTTATGGTTCCCTAGTGAACATAACCAGCGACCGGTCAATCTGTAGGTCCTGTAGGCCCCTCCGGATCTTAAGTCTCACCATCATTCACCATCTACCCCTGGTTGATACTGATCATACCTATATTATTGGTGCCTGCATCGGCATATTCGTTGATTGTATCCCCTGCCCCTGCCAATCGTCTCATCGGCAGCTTCACCGTCAGCTAAGCTTCAAAAATGACAGGCCCTGTGATAGTCTCAGGTCGCCCTCTTTGAGACCACGAAAGTATGAAGACACTGCCTGCACAGCGTGGGAGCTGCAATGGTGATCACCGGAGATGGATCTTTAAAATCTAACACCCCAGCAAAAAAATGCAAAACACACAAAATTCTGGTAGGTTTAGTTTTACGTATCCAAATTTTTGCGGGGCGCTAATCATTTTGCCTAATGCCCGAATGGACAGAAAGGATTAAATCTAAATACAATCCAGAATCCCACGATAGACAACATCGTGCTGATTCTCTTTGGTGTGCATAGTAATACAGTATACATTACATGAGAAAATGATCTACACCAAGAACGAAAAACAAAACAATAACATCTTGAGATGTCTTCTTACCCCAACATCCATGGAAATTATTGTTGAATGTCTTTATATGTTAGTATGTTTATATGAATTTATTGTTCTTATCATCTTATCCCAACATCCTTGGAAATGTTTTTATATGTCCATCCAAACATCCATTGACGGCCCATTGAATCCGCGAACGTTGGCGCCTCAGGTGTTGGTGCCCCAGCACGTTCCACGGCCGTCAGTAAGGCACCCAGCGATGCCCAGGTGGCCGAGGGCACCAAAGGCCTAAACCGGAGAAGGATAAAGATACCCTCTGGTAAACTTACAAAAAGCTATTGAAAATGGCCATTTATAGTGGATTTTCCCATTAAAAATGGTGATTTTCCATAGTTATGTTAAATTACCAGAGGGTATATTACAGTTTCAATGAAATCATCGCGACGTTTAGCGTTGATGCCATAGCGACTGTGAGCACTAATTCAATATGCTTGGGCCATTGGGAAAAACATTGGGGTCACCTTGTGTTAGTGATATGTTTATGTGATTTCTTACCTTTATCCCATCCAACACTATGGGCGCATGGTCTCTTCTATTGAAAAACTCATCCGTACTGCTTCATGGCAGTAGACCAGCGCTAGAATCCCAGGACCCAGTGCCCCGAAGTTGCCCAGGCCTCCCCTTGCGCAGGGTGAGGATCTCCGCCTGAGGGGATAGCCAGAAAAAAAACACAACTTCATGAAGCCCAGTTGGGGGTGGTTCATTCTTGTTTTTGTGTACATCAACACTTGTAACCTTCTGACCTATTTGCTCAAAGTGATGAAGATGATGAACGACTGGCCAGGCGGGTCAGGAATCTGCCTGTGATTGTCCACAGTTCAGCTTCTCAAGTCTTAGTGGTTATTCTGAAGGTAAAGACTCTGCTGTTTCGACTGCTTTCCACCCTTTAACATTGCCAATCCTGGATATGAATACATACGAAGCACCAGAAAATGCCAGGTTTAGATTTGTTTGGCAGAAGGTCGAAGATGAAATATTCCTCAGACTCAATTCATATCCACTGACCAACTATCACAAGTCGGTTTCGCCCGTGAAGTCAAACCCACACCCAAATGCCTGGCGCTGGAAGTCCCAAGCTGCCTCATTGTTGTGCAGTTTTCCAGTCGGTGCCTCTTTACAGCTGCACAGGGTGCCCGAAAACCCCAAATGAGGACACAAAATCAGGGTTTTCCACCCACCAGAATGGAAGATACAGTATATACAACCAATACAACCAAATCCAAATAATTACACATAGAAGAAGCAGCAACACTGGCCGCCGTTCTCAGGTATCTGTCCGTTTATGGACTCTTCCCCAAGTATCCCCGGCAATCTTGCATCACTACGTCACAAAGGTCGACGTTGTGAAAAGCTAAAATGTTCCCACAAATGTCATGCTAACCCCAGGTCAATATCCGGCTGGCTTCATTGCATCCAGGCATAGATGGCAGGTCACCGTAATAAACCCAGGAATCTCCGGGTGTCCCCCAGCCTGTTTCGACACAAAATCCAAGTCTTGGGAGGCACCATCCACCAGACTGGAAAACCAAGGCAGTAAGTCCTCCAGGGCAACCCCACAGCTGGTGGTGCTTGAGCCATCCCGGCCCTCAGAACCATAACACTAATACAGTCACTTGGGAATATACCATGTGTTGCTCCCTTTAAAAATTTCCTTGTGGTCCCATTCTTTGGGGGGAATGGTTTTCAAGAGCATGTTTTACAGATTCCACCAACCAGCAGCATTCTCTTTTTTCCGTGAAAGTGCGGCGTGTGGTAGGTATCAAAAGCCTGGCACCCTCGTGGCCATCCCCCGACATGGGTTAATAGTGGTAATCAAATCCAACTTTTGCCTATAGTCCGTTATATGCATATGTATACATATAATATGTATATATATATATAACCCATTATATAATATCCAGTGATATCCATTCCCCATGTGACATTTCCAGGAGGCTAGTCACGGCTAGTCCTACCCTGGCGCTCCTGCAAAGTCATTGAGCTCCAGGATTCGTCGACCTCGACTGCAGCTCTGCATTGTGATGAGAAAATGGAATCATATGTCGGACAAAATATGAAATCATAATTGTAATACCACATGATAATATGGAATGATGATGATGATGATGATGATATAAGTCTATGTGATAGTATGGTAAAACGATGATCATGAGTCATAAGCATCGAACCATTTTCGAGGGTAATTTCTGTGAGTGGGAGCCAGGGCCAAGTTCTTGCCGCAAAAATTCTTTCGAACTCATATTTTCGAAGAAAAAAAAATCTGGCTCTAGGAGCAAGTAAAGTGGATTCAGGACCAAATCAAATCAAATCCAATCCACTGACTCAAACCAACCCATTGTCCAAGTCGCTGCATTTGAAGTCCATGCTGCCTTGGGCAGAACCACGATGCACGGTCAATCCCAACGTGGGGGACAGCCAATCAGAATTCTGGGGTTTAGGTTCAAAATGGTTCAAAACATATCGGGAATCAAAAAGGGGATCAAAAAGGCCATCAAACATCATCAAACTATGTGGATCAAAGCCTTGTACCCAAAAAGTTGGGCCCCAAACTCTGATCTCATGAATAAGACCCCTCTGAGGCTGCAAAAAAGTAAGGAACTTTGTTCGGCCAAAATGCCCAAAGGTTCAGAGGCATCACGCCCAAGAAGAAGCCTCCATACTTAGGCAGTGCTTGCAGAACAGAGACCTCGGCTGTGGAAGAAACACGAAGAAACCAGTTGTGAGTAAAGCTGTGAAGCCAATAATGTGAGCCAACCATCGCATCTTATTTTGGAATGATGTGATTTCACATCCTTCAAAACTCAAGCCATCTCGAGCCTCAAGAAGCCAAAGGATGCGAAAGCTATAAGCATGTACACCTCTGATCCCTCTGCACGTTATGGTCCCTTTCACCGAATTCTTCCCACACTTTGGAGCCGCGGGACACAGGGAGCCGACAGGATCACGGCTTTTGGGGTCTGAGAGGCGTTCAACGAGCCCCAGAACTCCAGGAAGTTCATGCAGTGCCTGGGGGCAGGCCATGCCATGAATGGGATTCCACTCAAGGATGATCACAAAATTCATACAGTACTGTTCATAATGAGACAATAATGAAAATGACAATATTAATAATGATTAAAATATAGTAATAATACTTATAGTGATGATATATATATATATATCATCAATATCATCATCATCATCATCATCATTATCATCGTCGTCGTCATCGTCGTCATCATCATACTGGGTGCATTAAATTACAACCCTGTGAAAATGGGAGAGGACCATCCCCGAATTTATAGGGGAAATAAGCCATATTTTGACCACAGCTCATATGTGGTAAACCCCAAACGCTGGGAAGATGCTGTAGATGATACTCATGAGGTGTACAAACCTAAGGATCCCTCATATAATAATATATCAATATGGTTGCAACTGAGTGTACAACTGAGTGTATTTGCGACGTGGACGCGGATCAGCCGATCGCTACCATGGCTGAGCTTCATTGGGATCATCGTCATAATTTCTTGGATGGATATATATATATATAATATTATGTATATTATATTCCTCGGAATTTGGTTACTCATTGACTGGTTTATTTTCAAAAAGGGATCACCGTAACCCTTCCTTTTTGATCAACCGACCAGTAGGAAAAGGACGTCTATGATCCATACAACATCATCCCTGGCTCATGGTCCTTTTACTGTAGTTTGTTGGGGAACCCGTTTTTGCAATTCTTTGCATCTATATTCATCATCATCCAAAAAAACAATTGTGAACCCTCCAAAACCATCGATTTCTCCCAAGCAAGCAAAAAAATGTGGATTTTTGGGTCTCCACCTCCCCATCTTCGATCCCCATGCTAAGCAACTTGAAGCTCTGGGTGCACAGCACCCAGACATCCAACACCGCGGCCACTGGCGGCGTCCATGCGGTGCCTTCGAGGTCGACGAACCAGCGGAAGGTCTCGAGGCGCGTGAGGTTTGGCACGGCACAGCTCTCCTGTGAAATGCGGTCGTCCCCCTGGATGTACCTCAGAAAACACCGAAAAAAGGCTCCAGTTTCGGACCGGACCTGGAAGAATTCCTGAAAATCTACAATGTGACCCTTTATTGCGGATGACTTTCCCATCTGGAATGGAGGTTTTTGATAGGCCAGGTTCGATTTACCAGAAACTGTAACGATAGGTCATAGTGGTGCTGACTCCGGCAAGAGATGAGATGAAAGTCAAGAGGATGATATTCTTTTTGCACTCTGCAAGCTTGAGTCAGTGTGGCACACAAATGTTGGCACCAAGGGTAGATGGCGCATGGCAACATGTAAGTACGGAAGTTTGAGGGCCCACGAATGCTCAAGTACCCACATGGACCAGTCTCATCCCGTTGAAAAAGCCTTACTTGTAGATCCTCTATGGGAACTACGTCTCGACATTTGGAGCGAGCAAATACCCATGACAACTTGAAGAGATGCCCTTGGACCCATGTCAGACTTATTTTGAGCTTGCTGCACTCAATTCCTCTTTTCACATGCGATCATCTGAATCATCTGATCAATCTGATCATGTTCATCGATTTTGTCATCTGTCATTGATAAAAAAAAATGTCGATGTGATCCCAGCCTCGGCAGGAAGATCCCAACCCAACACTTTCCACTTCATCCACTTACATGCAGGGGAGATACCATATACATCCATAAACCATCGGGAAATTCCACATGGAACCTCCACAACTTGCCCAAAGGATAGGCGTCCGACCTTTGAGCTCCACCCAGCGCATCCCAAACCAAGCTACACCACCCTCCATGGAACGCCATCGGAGCGGGATTCCAGTAGCGTCAGAGCCGGCAGCAGCAGCTGTTTCGGGGAGGGTTGGAGGCTGAAGCAACTGTGACACCTGCAGAGATAGCATGTGATGGCAATCCAGGGGAATAGATGTGAAGAAATGATAAGAACTGATCCATGACTGTTTGGGGAGCCAAAAGGCTGGATTCCTAGCTGCTTACATCATTTCAGATCATTGCTTTACCCGACACCCCTACAAATGGCTGATGTTCGCAAGGTCCCAAAATTTTCTCCGGCCAAGCTCAGCAGTGCCATCGGACCCCTATAGGTGACACCTCCGCAGTAGATCCGCAGATGTCAAAAGGGGCGACAGGATCAAAAGGTCGAGCCGCTGCGCCATATCCTTGTTGGCTGTAGATTTCCCCCTCCAAAATGGTGCAACTCTTCGGGGAATGTCTGTTGGTTTCAGGATTTGACTCCCCGAATCACCCCATTTGCCAATGCTCCAGTCATGACTTGTTATTTTTTATATTACTATTATATATTATCATCATTTATGACAACTATTGTTACTATAATTGTTGACTTATCTTCGATTTCTGGGGCTCTTCGTCAAGGATCCGCCATGGCTTCCCCTTCCAGTGGTCCCAAGAAGAGGCTGATGTTGTGGTCGTAGGCCAAACGTTGCAAGGCCGAGGGGTAGAGCTCCTAGGGTCAAGGGGGGTTCCATGGGGTTCCTAAGTCATGGAAAAACCCCAAGTCACCAACCGGTTGTTTCAATATGTTTCAATACTAAGTCATGGCCATTCACGACTTGGATGATTTTGGGGAAACCCCATGACGAAACGGAAACCTCCAACTAGCCATTGTTTGTATGTGAAAATGATGACCGACCACTGGATGGAATGGGGTAAATACTATGTTCAAACAAAACCAAAAAGGTGCCAGGAAGTGAGTCAAGAGCAGTGGTATGATTTTCAAATCATGGGCACTCTGAACCATGGCAACCTTGCGATAGAAAAGGATACTTGTTGGTTCAAATCAGGTGAAAAGTACGCGCTTTCATTTTGTGAAATGGACTGACCTCCAATTTTTTGTCCTGGATGATCTTTGGACTTATGTGGCGTGAGACGCGCTAAACGGGAACTGCACCCAATTGCCATCGCAGCTACATGGTCTTTCTGTGAAGATGTGTAACTTACCAGCCACAGTCCAGATGAGTCGTCTATTTCTATCTATACCTGTGGATCCACCCAAAAAACTGCCGAACATGATTTAACTTCCGACTGATTATGGCAGTGGGTCCCAAGTGTTTCCAACCCCCAAGGTGCCCGTCAGGGCACCTGACTCCCCTGGGTATCCAACACCAGCAGCTCCACCAAGTGCCGGCTTCTGCCCACGCAGAGGCCCCCGCGCTGCTGGTTGAACCACCTGGGGTCGATCTCAAGGGATACCTTGGACCATTTTGATATCGAAGCTGTTTGATGATACTTTGGATTTTTGAAATGATTTAGTTACAGTTCGTGATAACAAAACATGTTTATATCATATGTATCTATCTACCTATCTATCTATCTATCTATCTATATCTATCTATCTATATCTATCTATCTATATCTATCTATCTATCTATCTATCTATCTAATCTAATCTAATCTAATCTAATCTAATCTAATCTAATCTATCTATCTATCTATCTATCTATTTTTTTTATAGCACAATACAATAGAATGTATATTATAGTAGGGGGAGGCTTGAGATTCCCCGGAGCATGGACGAACCTTGAGTCTCTCCCTGATAGACATAAGCATACAGAAGGGGTGCGGTGAGGTGGGGTGGGGTCCGCAAGGCATCAAAGGGCCCGCCAAAGGCCTATCACAACAACAAATAATGATGAGTTACCAAGAACGTTCTATACTATATATATATATTTCTTGAATGCACCCACGGGTTTGACTATAGTGACTATAAGAATTGACACGTCCGATAAATCACCGCAGAAAAAAATAGATAACAACTCCCAGATCCACAGCTGGCTGGCAACCATGCAAAACCCTACCTGTGATACTAGGAGTAGGAGTTGAAGTGCGCCTGCCTTCCCGCTAACCACGCGTTCCGCGAAGAGACACTGGCTAAAGAAGCTCTTGTCCTGCGCTATATGCAATGGCAAAGTGGGCGGGTGATCGGTTCTAAAAAGGTTTCTACCATTTTCCACACAATTTTGATTACACGCGTCCGTCACGCATGGGTGGTTAAGAGCTGCTTTGCGGAGCTCCCAATCCGCTTGTTGCTTGGCCTTCGCCTCCAAATCCATTCAGATCCATGGGAATTTCAGGATCCTAAAATGGAGGTACTGTGTCATATAAGGCCACATTTTGTGGGTTCCTTCTGCCTGCCTTGGCCTTTTTCTCGGCTACTCTGACATTGCCCGACCTCCAACCAGGACAACGCGTTATATAGTGTCTGTGGCTCGATGCGATGACGAATGGCATCTGCTTGTGTGTTTGCAGGCCTGCCGTGGCGCTTCTTGTCGTCAGGCCTGCAGCACTTGTGCACCCAGACGTTCGACTGTACGGCCATGGCCTCAGGATGCAGTCAATCCTTCCTTGTCTTGCACCTCACTACAATCCCAGCATCACACTACATAACTAAAGCACAAAACAAAGCCAATCATGCTCCAGTTTACGAACTCTTCCCGGCGATATACAAGCACTGGTGTTGGTAGCCCTAAAAAATACAAAAAGAACCCACATCCTTCAATGTCAAATTAAAAATGCAACTAAACGGCTTTCCAATGGTCATTTCTCTTTGACATGACTGCAAACTCGTCGCCTCGCAATGCCTGTGCCCAGGTCAGACCTCGGACAGACAAGAAACAAACATCGCCTAACGTGGTTCCACCAAAATACACCTACACGTCAACGTATCTCAATGAATACCCGCGCAAATATGTATATATATATATATATATTCTAAATACATATATAAATGAATATACGTGTGTGTGTGTGTATGTGTGCGCCTAGGCTCATCCGGGATGGCATCCATGTCCAACTGACGCTTAATTGATTCTTACAAATATTGAAAATCTTTACACCGGGCCCCCCCAAAAACAATACTATCAAGATTTCGACGTATTTCGCTGCTACTGTCATTGTTGTAAATTCTCTAACCCACTGCATACGCAACCTTCAAAATTAGTATATCAACCTATCCATCCAATCTTGGTCTCCAACACGCCCATTGCTGCTTGAAAATCAAACGAAAAAAACAAGCACCTACCTCGCAATATCACATATTTACAACTCACAAGTGCAATCGCACAGCACGATATTTCTACTCGCATTGAAAACGATACATTTCGTTCCTCATGCAGTCGTAGCTTCGTACGACCGCACCATCCTATTGTACATCAACTGCAAAATGAATAAGAAGCAAACCTTTGCTATCGATTGGAACCAGAACCAGACCACGAAAATCAATTGCTTGTTCCAACCCATATCTTTCAGAGAAAATAAAAACATCGTATTTATTCAATCTGCGGCGCTGTCAACTTCACGAATTCGGACAGCAGATGCCCGCTCAATTTTGTCCAGAAGTTCTAGCTGGTCAGCCAGAATCCTCTGGATTTCACCGACCTTCTCATCCTCGGAAGAGCAAGGCTCTAAGACTTGTCGAAAACTCACACAGTGCATGCACCACCTACTCGCACAACTCACAGCTGCTTGAGAAATAAAGGGACCGGATAACCCCACAAATCAACTTCTTCCAATGATCACGAAGCAGATGTGAAAATGAGATGGGAAAGGCCGGAAGGAAAGGAGATGGTGCAAGACAGGTTGGGTGAAAGAGCTGTGTGCGACAGTGTTGTGTGTGTTTAAGTTTGTGTATGTAAAAGTGTTGTGTGTGAAAGAGTTGTATGTGACAAAGTTGAGTGAGTAAGTTGTGTGTAAGTAAGTGGTGTGTGGACAAGTTGTGTGTGGGCAAGTTGTGTGTGGACAAGTTGTGTGTGAGCAAGTTGTGTGTGTGAGCAAGTTGTGTGGTGCCAAGTTGTGTGTGGAGAAGTTGTGTGTGAGTAAGTTGTGTGATGACAAGTTGTGTGTGGAGAAGTTGTGTGGGAGTAAGTTGTGTGTGGTGACAGGTTGTGTGTGAGTAAGTTGTGTGTGAGGAAGTTGTGTGGTGACAAGTTGTGTGTGGAGAAATTGTGTGGGAGTAAGTTGTGTGTGGACAAGTTGTGGGGTGACAAGTTGTGTGTGGACAAGTTGTGTGTGGACAAGTTGTGTGTGTGTGAGTAAGTTGTGTGTGGACAAGTTGTGTGGCGACAAGTTGTGTGTGAGCAAGTTGTGTGTGTGAGCAAGTTGTGTGTGGACAAGTTGTGTGTGAGCAAGTTGTGTGTGGACAAGTTGTGTGTGGACAAGTTGTGTGTGAGCAAGTTGTGTGGTGACAAGTTGTGTGTGGACAAGTTGTTAGTGAGTAAGTTGTGTGTGGACAAGTTGTGCGTGGACAAGTTGTGTGTGGACAAGTTGTGTGTGTGTGTGTGTGAGTAATTGTGTGTGTGTGAATAAGTTGCGCGCCACCAGATGCCATAAGTGCCACACCTGCCACGCAAAGTGAAGGTCCATGTCGCCAAGTGCCACGCCTGCCACGCAAAAAGTCACGGCGTCCGTGGCATCAACTGGGAACCAAGCGCGCCACCAGAGCCAGCCCAGTGCCATAAGTGCCACGCCTGCAATGCAAAGTGCACGTCCATGTCACCACGTGCCACGCCTGCCACACAGAATGCACGTCCATGTCGCCAAGTTTCACGCCTGCCATGCAAGAAGCCGCGGCGTCCACGGCGTCAACTGGGACCCAAGCGCGCCACCAGAACCAGCCCAGTGCCATAAGTGCCACGCCTGCCACGCAAAGTGACGATCCATGTCACCAAGTGCCACGCCTGCCGCGCAAAGTGCGAGTCCATGTCACCAAGTGCCAGGCCTGCCATGCCAAAAGCCGCGGCGTCCACGGCGTCAACTGGGACCCAAGCGCGCCACCAGAGCCAGCCCAGGGCCATAAGTGCCACGCCTGCCACGCAAAGTGACGATCCATGTCACCAAGTGTCACGCCTGCAACGCAAAGTGCAAGTCCATGTCACCAAGTGCCACGCCTGCCACGCAAAAAGCCGCGGCGTCCACGGCGTCAACTGGGACCCAAGCGCGCCACCAGAGCCAGCCCAGTGCCATAAGTGCCACGCCTGCCACGCAAAGTGCACGTCCATGTCGCCACGTCCCACGCCTGCCACGCAAAGTGAACGTTGATGTCGCCAAGTGCCACGCCTGCCACGCAAAAAGCCGCGGCGTCCACGGCGTCAACTGGGACCCAAGCGCGCCACCAGAGCCAGCCCAGTGCCACAAGTGCCACGCCTGCCACGCAAAGTGCACGTCCATGTCACCACGTGCCACGCCTGCCACGCAAAAAGTCACGGCGTCCGCGGCGTCAAGTGGGACCCAAGGGCGCCACCAGAGCCAGCCCAGTGCCATAAGTGCCACGCCTGCCACGCAAAGTGACGATCCATGTCACCAAGTGCCACGCCTGCCACGCAAAGCGTGGTGACAAGTTGTGTGTGAGCAAGTTATGTGTGAGTCAGTTGTGTGTGAGCAAGTTGAGTGTGAGTAAGTTGTGTGTGTGTATGAAATGTGTGGTGACAAGTTGTGTGTGAGTAAGTTGTGTGTGTGTAAGTTGTGTGGTGACAAGTTGTGTGTGAGCAAGTTATGTGTGAGTAAGTTGTGTGGTGACAAGTTGTGTGTGAGGAAGTTGTGTGGTGACAAGATGTGTGGTGACAAGTTGTGTGAGCAAGTTGTGTGGTGACAAGATGTGTGATGACAAGTTGTGTGTGTGTGTGCAAGTTGTGTGAGGACAAGTTGGTGAGGACAAGGTGTGTGTGAGCAAGTTGTGTGATGACAAGTGGTGTGTGGACAAGTTGTGTGCGAGCGGAAGGAGGAGGAGGCGGCGGGAGGAGGCGGAAGGAGGCGGCGGGATACAGAACCAAAAACAAGAACCCCACACAAAGATGTGGGGGAAAAAAAATGTTGCAAAGACACGCCACCACCAGGCCCATCCATCGCATCCAGATGCTCTCCGACGAGGCGCCGCAGTTTGCCAACATTGGATTCCTGTGACAGATTTGGATGACTGCTAAAACCAGCTGTCCCAAAAAAAAACGCAGCCCGTATATAGTCATTACCACGCTGACTGTATTCATGCCCGAAATTTTGCTAAGAAACAATGCTAGCAGCGGACACAATGACCCAAGACTTCCGGCGCTCATCGGATGCTCTGTCATATGGACCTGATCTGTTTGCCTTAGATCACAACATACAAGCATACTGCATACTGGACATACATTGCAACCGTTTTTAACAGCAACCGGTTCCAATACAGCTGAAAAGTACGTCCTTGGCGCAAGCGTCTGATTTGTCAGCTACGGGCACTGCACGGGCAAAAGCTCCTAGACAAAACATACCGCTTGCTTAATTCAAAATCACTGCCACAAAGAAAGCAGCCAGCAACTCCGACCCTCTCTCAATGGCAATACGAACGCAAATTACCCACTAGTCAATCAACAGTAGGATGAACCAAACCAGCCTGCAAAGCTGGAAACGGAGCTTGTCCACTGGCCATAGCTGTGCAAATGAGCTATGGTTGCAAAAGGTCTCGAAAAAAATCTACGCAAAGGCTCGAGCCAAAAATGACAATTAAAGATATAAAATATCTGACGCTTGGATCAACTGCCACACAGCGAATGGTGAAACGGTAACCATATGAAATTGCTCATACTGATCATTACTTTGAAGTTTTAACCTCTAATTTTACTCGTCGAAAATTAAACTCTATAACAATGTGTCTCGCGAAACAAAACTCAACACCCAACATCGATGAAGCAGACGCTGTTCGCATACAAATTCGCACATACAAAGACAACATGCCATAGATCACAGCTAAAACCATATGAACTCATCTGATGGATGCGCTTACCAAAAAAAATGTCAAAACACGTGCACTTTAAAAGATCCATACGGCATTCTCTTCCAATATCGGAAGGGCTTCGAACACGGGTGGGGTGGGGTGGGGGGAGATGTTAAGGTTCATCGCATTGCGTCACCAGAAGATGTTGTTACGTTGATCTTAGTTGTGGCAAATGTTGTTACGTTCAAGATTTCTTACATTGAACATGATGTTACCTTGAAGATGTTCTTACGTTGAAGATGTTGTTATGCTGATGTGAAGAGCAAAAAAACCTCATGTGCATTTCGCCCATGGTTCTCTGGTGGACTATGACATTCTTATGTTATTCAAAAAACATAAAAGTTTAATCAACACACAATTCCACTGGTTTCTACGGAGACAACATAAAATGAAGAAGTTGAAAAACATTAAAATAAACTCAGGTGCTATCCCCAACAGCTTGAAAGCTTCTGCGTTTTTACCATAAAAAGTGCCTATGGCATAAAAATTAAGCGCTTTGCCATAAAATATAAGTTCTTATGTCTTAAAAAAAAAAAATCGAAACCCTTTGGAATTTCACAAAGCATCTGCACCAGAACTCTCCGGAACCTCACAAGGTATCTGCACCGGAACCCTCCGGAACCTCACTAAGCATCTTCTCTGCCAAAACCTTCCGGAACCTCACAAGGTCTCTGCACCGGAACCTTCCGGAGCCTCACAAGGTATCTGCCCCGGAACCCTCCTTCATCAGGTAGCTGCACCGGAAACTTCCGGAACCTCACCAGGTTCCTGCACCGGAAACTTCCGGAACCGCACAGAACCCTCCGGAGCCTCAGCAGGTATCTTCAACGGAACCCTCCGGAACCTCACGAGGAGTCTTCAACGGAACCCTCCGGAACCTCACGAGGTATCTGCACCGGAACCCCTCCGGAACCTCACGAGGTATCTGCACCAGAACCCTCCGGAACTTTGTCCGGAACCTGGTGTTGAAGCTGCACCGGGGCTAATCTGGGCTAAAGACCCCATAGCAAAGTTTTGCTGTTGGGGAAAAAACCAACGGCGGACAACATATCCCAGGTATGTTGTCCGCATGTCGAACTGATTCCATATGTTATCAAGTCATGGAAAGAACACAAAACACAGGGAAAAATAACATGTGTCAAAATTGCAAACAATGAACTTGAATTGCGTTCCAGACAACCTCAAGCCTCTTCCCTAATAGAATATATATATATACATATGTGGTTGATGCATATTGTTGCATGTTGATACAAATTGCTTGATTCTAACCAGTTGGGACGTTCATGACTACGCTCGATGTTTGTGTTCATCGTGTGGCCACTTCAATCCATTGGCTTCGCCTTGATGGAAGGACTTATGCCTGGCCCCAAACCTGCGAGGAAATATACTGAGCACCGCATCATGGAACACATGCCATGTCACCATCGGAATCTCAAAGACATGATCTGACACGACCTCGCTGATCGCAATGTTCTGCCGCACAAAATCCGGAATCCCCACCCAGAGGTTGCACCTTAAGTAATGTTGTAACGTGGAGATCACCACAAACGCCTCCGCATCTGCAGGGCCATTGGAATTCACCGGCCACGCCATCCCAATCTTCACCTTCAGCCGGGAAGAAATTGTGTCGTCGACGCGGAGAAATGTCATGTTGGAGCTTAACCCATAATGGTGTATATCACTGTATACTTTTTACCATATCAAGGTAAGGGTTTCTGCCAAGTTTTGTCCATGAATGTTTCCAGAATCGTCAGGTTTTCCATGTTTCTCCAGCCCCAAAACCACCATGGATTCTCACCGTCTCCGCCAGCGGCAGCTCGCAACAGCCGCAGGATGCGCCAGGCATCGCGCTGACGGCGCCAAGCGTCGCGCCGAGGCGGAGCTCGAACCAGTCCTG